GGTGCCATGGGTTGACTGACTGAGATTACTGGCAGGTACACCACCTGAGGCCCAAATTGTGCCAACTTTCGATGTTTTATCCCCCCGGCGCTCCACTTGTTGTTGTGAGCGTCGCTCTTCTGCCCTCCGCACTCGAGAGAGAGCTCCTCTGGAGGGTAGGAGTACCCACACTTTACCCCATCACATACGACTTGCTGATGGGCGGTGGTGGGGGGGGGGGGGAATACAGGAAACTTGCACCGGTTTTTCCACTGCCGCACTGGGAGATGGAATCGAATCGGTGACCTCTGCATTGCAAGGCCAGTATACGATTACACTGTGGCAGCTCCGTTCCTGCAGTTCTGGAGTAATACCCTCAACACATTTACTGCACTAGCACTACGAATCCCGCAGAAACATTGGCATCCTTCCGTCAACAGCAGACGATGGAATTTGCAACTTTGCGTTTCCTAATAATAATTCGAACGGCTTGGCTTGATTTACATTTCCTTACGATGGCTGTCAAGGCCGATCCTGGACAGACGGAGCCTGCCGCGCGCCTGCACGCGTGCTCGTAGTCCGCTCTGCGAATGATTCGTGGCCGGCTCCATTCTCTCTGCAGGGCTCGCGGTTTATTCCAGAGCCACTGAAGCTGTCTTAATGCCACGGTCTCAATGAGCCAAACCAGAGTGAGTTGCTGGCAGTTTCCCCTTCGCCACAAGCCTCTCGTGTGTCGGCGTTGACGTCAAGAGGTGCTGAGGTCGCACTTGTGGACGTCTCCACGTCGGAGTTTTGGGGCGACCTCTCGTGCCATTTGCCACTTCTTGCCGGGGGGCTGTGGTGGCTACACACTGCACTGTTGGAGGGGGGGAGCGTGCGGTGGATAGCGCGCACGCATTTTGTGGGCGTCAAGGTGCCCATACCCTGGCTCGCCACGAGAAGGCAGTACGGTAAAGTGCGGACCAAACTCATCTGTCCCTTAAATTTCGATTTAAGGGCTTTCGTGACTGCAGGGATTTATCTTTTTGGTTCTTTCGGTAAAGTCACGTAGAAGGGAAATATTAAAACAATGAAAATAAAACGTAGTAAAATAAAATTCTCACGACGTTTCGGCCACAACACAAGTGGCCTTCCTCAGGTGAATAAACAGAACTGCCGGAAAGACAGCGCTCCAATGAACACTGCTAAGCTTGGCAGCGTATTTGTCCCTTTTCGACTGGAATCGAGGTTTGCACTATTGCACACACGTGGGTTCACTACGGTTGCCCCGGTTTCCTCCCACATTCATAAACACGAAATTATTGGCTGAAAGCATCTTAAGCTATGCACCTCCGTGTTTGCATATTTGCGCAGGGTTGTGTGATGCAGTTGCATAAATGTCGCTACTATATGAAACATTTTTTTTTACATTATAATAGATACTATAGCATATCTTGAGGCATGCATCAACGCACAACAACCGGTGATGGCGTCACTATGGTGCTTGTGGCAGGCTGGGTGCACTTTGAGGCCAAGTAAAGTGTCGAAGGCTCGCTGGAACGTCACGGGACGGACCCAGGAGCCATGAGATGCACCAACTGTGTCAACTTTCTGTATTTTATCCGCCCGGCGCTCCACTCGTTGTTGTGAGCGTCGCTTGTCTGCCATCCGCACTTGCATGTACATTGCATGGTATGGTTGTACAGACACACTCCGTGCGACATATTTATACACTCACTATATTTATCTATATGTGTATTCCATAATGGCTCACCATCTGTTAGGTATGAAGGATAGACGACAGTTGACAGCTCGTGACAGCCAGGTTCTGTGATATACACCAGCTTGTCAAAAAACCATGAACATACAAAACATTTTACAAATATTATAATTCAGTAGCTTCTTGAAGATGATAAAATGCATCTTCCAGAAAAGGAAGAGTCCGTGACCTGCCACGGCAGCCTTCTTCTGGAAGCGAGAACGTTTTGTCGCCGATTGGCGGCGAAAATCTTCCAAAGGCAATGAGATCAAACAAACATGAGTAAGACGAGTTTACAAATGAAGGACTATTGTGGAAGTCGCTTTCACATCATTTCTTTATCTACCTTCTGTCTTCCAGAAGAGCTCTGCCATTCACAATCCAGGTTATTGATCCACGTTGTGTCTTCCAGAAGAGCTTTGCCTTTCACAATCCAGGTTATTGATCCACATTGTGTCTTCCAGAAGAGCTTTGCCATTCACAATCCAGGTTATTGATCCACATTGTGTCTTCCAGAAGAACTCTGCCTTTCACAATCCAGGTTATTGATCCACATTGTGTCTTCCAGAAGAACTTTACCTTTCACAATCCAGGTTATTGATCCACATTGTGTCTTCCAGAAGAGCTTTGCCCTTCACAGTCCAGGTTATTGATCCACATTGTGTCTTACAGAAGAACTTTATCTTTCACAGTCCAGGTTATTGATCCACATTGTGTCTTACAGAAGAGCTTTGCCCTTCACAGTCCAGGTTATTGATCCACATTGTGTCTTCCAGAAGAGCTTTACCTTTCACAGTCCAGGTTATTGATCCACAATGTGTCTTCCAGAAGAATTTTACCTTTCACAATCCAGGTTATTGATCCACATTGTGTCTTCCAGAAGAACTTTACCTTTCACAATCCAGGTTATTGATCCACATTGTGTCTTCCAGAAGAGATTTGCCCTTCACAGTCCACGTTATTGATCCGCGTTGTGTCTTACAGAAGAGCTTTTCTCTTTACAAATCACGTTTTCCTGCCTAAAATGAGCAAACGAACAGGGACGAAGATAAAGTTTGAAGTTAAGAACACATTCCATTGATTAGTGTTTGAGCTTGAGGAGGAGGGAGGGAAGGGGAGAGAGGGGGACTGAGAGGGTTGACACAGGGGACAAATGGGGGGAGTAGGGAGCAGAGGGGAGTGACACTGTTTGGGCGATGCCCGTGGGATTGCGGGCTTCTTGCGAGCATGCGCCATCAACGCAGACAGGGCTTCAGTCCTAGTTGCTCTATGGGGCCGTCCATAAATGACGTCACGCACCTAGGGGGCGGGGGGTCAGACATTTGTGACGATGTGTGACGAGGGGGGGGGGGTTTGAGAAATGTGACGTCACATCAAAATGCACAACTTTAAATAAATATAGACAACACGTTCTACTTAATTAAATAGACTTTTTAATAAATGTTTTCTCCAACATTAGAGTGCAGCGCCACATAAAATACGCACTACAATGGCAATAGTTTAAAGCGATTTGAAGCATGTTTTATTTTTTTGGTGGGGGGAGCGGGGGGCAGAGCTTTGTGACGTCATATTTGAGGGGGGTCTGACTTTGTGACGTCGTGTGACGAGTGGGGGGGGTCAAAAATCGTTCAAAATCGCGTGACGTCATTTATGGACGTCCCCTATGTCCCTTATACCTTTCATGCCTGCTTTATTGATGGGGATATCGGCACGTACAATCGAGATTGATCGATTGATTGGTTTCTCACTGCTGATATTTCAGGTCGCTGTTAGACCGAGCTAGGCACGTGAACTGGTAGGCACGTCCATCGTGAAGAGTCATGGTGGATGTGGTGTGCTGGGTGTGGAAATGTATTTGGGGTCGCCGTCCCGGCTGAAAGGCATATAGAAACGTAGCTTACGTGGAGTTACACGGCACGCAGTGCCCAGCGGACTATTTGTGCAAAGTGCCCTTCGCGAGCACCTGTTGAGGACACCGTGACCTTAATAAATAGCCTGCACTACCACCCGCCACTCGGTTGCTCATGTTTACACACTGCAACAGGTACTCGTTTAAGGCCAAGTCGACCCACTGCAGGCCCAGGACAGGTTCAGATAATCGCGGCTGTTTTTTGTCGTAAGTGGGAATCGAATTCGGGTCAGTGGCTTAATTAAGGCTCGGTGGGCCTAGGGTAGGCACAGTTTCGCCACTTGCCTCACTGATGTCATTCATGGCGGGGTCATCTCACCCAGGTCACCGGGTTCGTTCAGGGTGTGTTGAACCACTATGACGCGGACATAAGCATGCGCCTGTTCGCATACGCATGCAAACGTGGACACGCATGTAGACATTCATGCATATACATTGTTCGGAAGCCACTGGAGCTATGCACTTTTAAATCTGGATCGAAAACTCATTGAAATGGAAACAGCGTTTTGTGTTTTATTTGTCCTTCCCCCGCACCTCCGGTTAGCACGGTTGGCTTTGTACGGTGCGAAAGAAGTTTTCAGCATACAATGCACACATGCACACCTTCTCACACGCACACACACGATTATTCTTACACCATTATGCATTTACATTGTATTTAATGCACTTACATTATCTACACAGACACCTACCAACACTCACACATGCACAAAGGCAAATATCCCTGAATGTATCCTGAACAGACTTGGGGCAAGTGCTGTTAGGGAGCACCTATGAAGGCCAGCACGGTACATGAGGGGGTGTGGGTGGCCACACATTCACACGTGCACGCACTCACACGTGCACGCACACACTCACATGTGCACGCGCACATGCACACACTCACACGTGCACGCACACACTCACACACTCACACGTGCACGCACACTCACAAATGCACACAACTCACACGTGCACGCACACACTCACACGTGCACGCACACATGCACACACTCACACGTGCACGCACACACTCACACGTGCACGCACACATGCACACACACATGCACACACTCACACGTGCACGCACACACTCACACATGCACACACTCACACGTGCACGCACACACTACTCACACGTGCACGCACACATGCACACACTCACACGTGCACGCACACATGCACACACTCACACGTGCACGCACACTCACACATGCACACACTACTCACACGTGCACACACTACTCACACGTGCACGCACACACTACTCACACGTGCACGCACACACTCAATGCCCATTCTGTGAAAGTAACTGTAGATGGGGTCTTTGCATAGCTCACACTCCCAATGGGGCAGAGTTTAAGGGCACGTGAGACGTGGGGAAGGGCATTGTTAGGACAGGGGCAATGTCAGGGCATTAGAATGCCCCTCCCTGAGCATAAATAAGTGTGGGCGCCTCCGCAGTGTGTGTGTGTGCGCGTGTGAATATCGTCTGCCTACGTGACAGCAGCACACGCCCGCTTGTGTTCGCGTGTGAGCACTCGAGGGAGGGCACTGTTAATTGTTAAAGGTTAAACGTTCAAAAATATCGGCCGCTTATTTAACTCAGTTTTCTTTGGCCGACGTTAGGTGGTGTAAAACATTTTTTTTACTTTTCGCAACACGTTAAAGTGGACAAGTTTTTTTATACTTTTTTATATTTGTTGAGTATATTTATTTTGCACTCCACCACCAAGTGCATCCGTTCTCAGCGTGGGTGCTGTCGGTGTTTGACTTCGTCTTCACGTTTCAGTTTCGCGTTCGTCTTGAGAAAATGTGAGTTGCAGGGCAGCGTGGCGTGTCGCAATGTTCAGCGTCTTGTGCAGTGACCTAATGCTAAATTCACATGTTTGAGCAATGCAGTTAAACGTTTATGAGTTCAAATATGAATACTGTGTGTACACCTTTGTGACTGTGTAGCAATTTGTTTTGTAAAGTGACTAGACTAGGCTCTAAAGAAAGCTGTCTCTGGTGTGGACCAATCAGTTGCAAGGACAATGCTTATATTGTCAGTGTGTTTTTTTGTTTGCATTGTGAATGCAAGTATTGTGGTTAATGCAGACATGAATCCTTGTAAAAAAAAGGTTTCAGTTTTGTTGCCAAAAAAAGGGGAAAACCCTTATTATTATTACTGTAGATACCTTTTACAAGGAATCAAGTTTGCATTAACCGCACGTCCTTGTGGTGAACATGCTAACAGGCTGTCTCTGGCGTAGGCCAATCCGTTTCAAAGACAATTCACAGATTATCGGAGCATATTTTGTTTGTATGTTCACCACAAGTACGTGTGGTTAATGCAGACTAGATTATTTTTCATACTTTGATACTGGCAAAAAGGTCCGATGATAAACTAAACTTTTTATTTTACCAAGTAAGGCCTACTCAGGTATATAACTTTTACAGAAGCGACCTGGCCACAAATGATAGCTCAACGGAGTGGTTTATTATGTTTAAATGTATAGCAGCAAAATCCTCTCTAAGTGCATGTTGATTATAAACGTGGGAGGGAAACCCCGTAGAACCCAGAAACAAAATCATCGCGACCACGTGGAGAACATGTGTAGTGTTCGATTTCACTCGGACAACTTCTGTCTTTCTCCGAACACCGCTTTATTTACAACTCTCAGCATGTCCTCCACATTCCACAGTATCCAGGTCGCCACGGCTCGCTCGCCATGCTTCACTCGACTCGCTCGCCACCTTTGTCTCTCCACTCCCCACTATTACTTCGCTTACTCCCTTAGCTTACTCCCCACGATTACTTCGCTTACTCCGCCGCTAACTTCTTCGTCTCCGCTCTCCGCTATCACCGTCACTATGCTCACTCCACTGCTACTGCTTCATCCCTGTTCACCGCTATCACCGTCACTGTGCTCACTCCACTGCTGGCTATTCTCGTCTTTAGCTCCGCTATCGTTACGCTCTCTCCACCGTGGGCTATTCTCGTCTTCAGCTCCGCTATCACTACGCTGTCTCCACCGCTAACTACTTCGTCTTTGTTCAGCTATGCTCTCTCCACCGCTAACTACTTCGTCTTTGCTCCAAGCTCCGTCTCCAACTCCGTCTCCCTTCCACTCTGTCTTCCAAACTCTGTCTCTCAAACTCTGCTTCTCAAACTCTGTCTCTCAAACTGTCTTCCAACTCTGTCTCTCAAACTCTGTCTCTCAAACTCTCCACACTTCAATTCCCCCTGTTGACTCCAAGCTCTCCAAACTCCAACTTCCCGCTCCAATTGCCGATCCCTCCCAATTTATCCCCGCTCTCATTACGCCCCAATTAATTAGTCCGCGTCCCAACGGCACTCCGCGTGATCGCACACCTGCTTCTCGCCAGACTTCCAGACGCCTCTCCGGCCCCGGCAACAGCACCAACCAATCACAGCCGTCCTTGGCTCTCCCAGCTTAATTGCCCCAACATAACCTGCACTGTATTTGCCTTCGTTACAGGCTGACCCAACATGAACCGCACTGTCTCTGTTTCCATGTAATACGCACCTTTCTACTCCACTACACATGCAAACTCCCAAACATACAGGCGTTAGGGTCGGAATCGAACCCATGACCTCCTGTATACTTAGCGAGATAGTTAACATCTCTCAGGGTCAGGATCGAACCCACGACCCCCTGCATACCAGGCGAGGGAGTTAACATCTCTCAGGGTCACAATCGAACCCACGACCCCCTGCATACCAGGCGAGGTAGTTAACATCTCTCAGGGTCACGATCGCACCCACGACCCCCTGCATACCAGGCGAGGTAGTTAACATCTCTCAGGGTCACAATCGAACCCACGACCCCCTGCATACCAGGCGAGGTAGTTAACATCTCTCAGGGTCACAATCAAACCCACGACCCCCTGCATACCAGGCGAGGTAGTTAACATCTCTCAGGGTCACAATCGAACCCACGACCCCCTGCATACCAGGCGAGGTAGTTAACATCTCTCAGGGTCACAATCGAACCCACGACCCCCTGCATACCAGGCGAGGTAGTTACCATCTCTCAGGGTCACAATGGAACCCACGACCCCCTGCATACCAGGCGAGGTAGTTAACATCTCGCCACCATGGCACGAGGAGATAGGTCGGACGTCAGCACGCTGGCAGTCAGCCATGCTGAGCCAATGTAGGTTGGGGTACAGTGCCTGCTGCACACTTAGGGGGGGTTCGTTATAGAAATAGCGGGGCTCGCTCTGGGAACCAATTAGGCAAGTTTTCGGGGAGATCCAGATAATTATTTATTTATTTATCTATCACAAGCACATTGTTTTTAAAGCCAGGGGGGTTCAGCCGGTGGCACAGTGGTGAGTGCGCTGCACTCTCTGAGCCCGGTTACCCGAGTTCAATTCCCGGCCACGGTTAACGCCAAAGGCGAGGGGGTATCCGAACCTGTCCCGTTCACTATGACCCGCGCTGAACACCGCGGTGAAGTATGGTCAAACACCCCCATCATCAACATGGAGTTGGTAGGCCTGCATCCAGCAGTAGATTTACCAGTGGCTGTGACGTATTTGGAGGAAAGTAAACCCAAACACGGCAAACGGCTGCTGTAGATTCATAGCTAGGGGGCCGTCCGTAAATGACGTCACGCGATTTTGGACGATTTTTGACCCCCCCCCCTTCGTCACACGGCGTCACAAAAAGTCAGACCCCCCTCAAATATGACGTCACAAAGCTCTGCCTCCCCCCCCAAATAAAACATGCTTCAAATCACTTTAAACTATTGTCATTGCAGTGCGTATTTAATGTGGCACTGCACTCTGATGTTGTAGGAGAAAACATTTATTAAAAAGTCTATTTAATTAAGTAGAACGTGTTGTCTATACAGTATTTATTTAAAGTTGCGCATTTTGATGTGACATCAAATTTCTCAAACCCCCCCCCCCCTCCCATCGTCACACATCGTCACAAATGTCTGACCCCCCCCCCCCCTAGGTGCGTGACGTCATTTATGGACGGCCCCTTATAAAAATACTTTTAAAGTTATGGCTAGGCGCATCATCATGGCTCACTGCAGTGTTACTTCCATGCATTTTAACGCCACGTCGATGCAGTGATGTCTCTAGAGCGCTATGATAGCACCTGCCTCGCTATTACATTAAAGTATTTATCGTAAACAAAGCAGTACATCATGTTGGATAGCCCAGGACAACAGAGTCCAGGTGCGTGGATGTCAGCGGTGTTTGGATAACAAAATAAAAAATAGCACTTCTGTCTCCCCGATGCATTGTACCACGTGTTGTTTGGCACAATGTCCGACGTTTTTCTCCATGTGCATCTTCAGTTCATTGAGGGCCTTGCAGTGACACAAGTGACTGAGTGTTGAAATTAACGATACGTCTTTTTCCAGGGATTAAATGTTCCGCTCGAGTACCTGATTAGTGTGGCTAAGATGCTTGCAGTGACGGATGTATGTATGTATGAACTTCTTTCGCATCCTACGTGCTAATCGGAGGATAAAGATGACTTGCGGTCAGTTTTGAAGTGGGAAACTTCACTTGACCATGGAGCATATGGAGCGAAAACGCACAATTGTGTTAATGTATACATTTACGCATTGGTAACGTCGCACCGGATTTTAAACAATATGCTCTTATCCTGGTGAATGGCAACCACACACGCACACATGCACGTGCACCAGCAGCCATTCACGTCTGCGTAAACCTGGGAGAAGGGCCAACCAATAACCGTAGGTGACCTCTCTGTTCGTGAGCTTATTAATATTCATGGCATGGCCAGCATGACTATTAATGAGATATCTGAATGCAGGCAAATGTAATCTATTCACTAAACGTGTAATGATTCACTCCACCAGCCAGTCCCTTAATTATTCAATACACTGTCACGATTGTGAGTCGTGGTCTGACTTAAGTTTCGATTCCCTTTCTGTCTTATGCTGTCTCTTGCTCTGTTACATCTGTAAATGACGAGACAAAACCCATGATCATAACAGAAAAATAAAAAATAGTGCAGGCCCGAAAACCGTGAGTTTCAAACAAAACACATAAATGTGTACAAAGCACTCAGCCTCTTTGCATTGTGCATTGATTTTTGAATAATGGACGAAAGCCCAGTGTTTTTTTGACAAATGTTTGTGTGCGGTTTAAAACCCGTGTTCTGTCTCATTTGATCAAGTAGCCTAAAGGTAACGTTTGTGCTTGATGTGAATACATTCTAAATGATCAAATCCTACGTGAACAACCGATGGACGTGTCATGAGCGTAAAAATTGGTTTTAACCGATAAATAGTTACACACTTGCTATTAACAATCTACAACTCACAGCTAGCATTGCGTAGCATTATGTAGAATAATAAAAAAAAATACATGAAGAGTAAACATCTTGGAACGCTTCTTGTGGCCATATGTATTTTGGTAAAAAAACACAAAAGTGCACACTGCTAGTGCTTTGTTAAGATTGTATTAGTGGCAGTCTCGGAAGTACACATATATCTGCGTGTAAGCAAATTTGTTTGTAACGTTACAATAAACCTGACAATACTGTTAACATTCACCAATGTATTTGCAACAAAGGGACATTTTCCAATTTTCTGCAAACAGGCCCTAATATTGCCGCAAATTTAATTATTGTTTTGTTAATATATTCCGAGTTTACAGTCATTGTACCCACTGGAACTTAGATCCTTGGAATCAAATCAATCTAAATACCTCAATATTAAATTATTGAACTTAAACCACGAATTATATCCTTGGACTTAAACACTTAAACTTAGAATTGTTACTTCAACTCGGGGATTTTGACCCTTAGATAGGAACTTCTTGACTCACGGACTTGAACCTAAACCCCATGATTTAGATATACACATTTATCCACATAGACCCATGGATTTAACAAGTACACTTAGATACAGGATTTAGCCCCACAGCCTTAATTCAAGACTTAGACCCATGGGCCTCAACCCATACACTTAGATCAGAGTTGGGAAACTTTTTACAATTTTCAGAGCCAAATAGGGCTTTCACATATCTTTGGCGGTAGGCCACACACCACCTCACACCTCAGTCACTTCTGTCACTGCAAGAGGCCGTTGCAGTGACAGAAGTGACTGAGTGTGCCCAAATTAGAAAGATATTTTTCCAGGTTAAAAATATTCCACCCTCTAGTACCCGATTAGTGCAGCTAAGATGCTTGCAGTGATGGATAAGTATCATTTGTGGTCTGTTTCGAAGTGGTAAGTCACATGTGGCCACGGGACATATGAATTGCAATCATGGATCGTAGCTTCCCCACCCCTGACTCGGACACACAGACACACAAACTTCAACCCTAGACCCATGGGCTCAAACTCATATCCTTAGACCCATAACTTAGCCATTTGTACGCGTGCGCCTGGTCTCGGGCTATCACCTTAATCGTCTGGTGCATCCTTATTAATCCCCCCCCCCATAGGGCCCTCCTGAGTGGTGCTGATGCCAGTGCCACCCTCCTTGGCCTGTGACAAGATGGCGTCTGTACGGCAGACACGCGTCCTCACCCTCAACGCCATGGATAACCTGGAGCGCACGCTCTACCGCGTCAAGAAGGGTGAGCAGGAGCGAGTAGGCGGCTCTGCAGCTTCATGGGTCGGGTTCATTATGGCTGTCGGGTTTATAACGGCCATGTCAGGTTCATAATGGCCGGGTCAGGTTCATAATGACTGTGTAAGGTTCAGACGCTGAGCTGCCACACAGATGTGAGGCACTATATACATTATGCTCATTGTGATCCTAGTTTAAAGATACATTTATGAGAAAGAAAAACATTCTGTGATGTTTTCCAGAGCTGTACCTTTGAATATGCCACTGATGTGAAATCCATGTAGCATACTTATATTTACTATAAAATATATTTTCTCCAGGAAACCGGGTTTTAGGATGACAGCCTTGAGACCAGGTTTTGAGATCAGTGTATTGATTGAGACTTGGCTCCAGGAGACCTGTTTTAGGACTAGAGTCTTGAGGCCGGGTTTCAGGATCCAAGTCTTGAGATCAGGTTTTAGGATCTGAGTCTTGAGGCTGGGTTTCAGGATCCAAGTCTTGAGATCAGGTTTTAGGATCTGAGTCTTGAGGCCAGGTTTCAGGATCCAAGTCTTGAGATCAGGTTTTAGGATTTGAGTCTTGAGGCCGGGTTTCAGGATCCAAGTCTTGAGATCAGGTTTTAGGATCTGAGTCTTGAGGCCAGGTTTCAGGACCCAAGTCTTGAGATCAGGTTTCAGGGTCCGAGTCTTAAGGCCAGGTTTCAGGATCCAAGTCTTGAGACCGGGTTTCAGGATCTTAGTCTTGAGATCAGGTTTCAGGATCTGAGTCTTGAGATCAGGTTTCAACCACTGCCACCTTGGTAAGGAATTAGCCTTGGTTAAGTCTAGAATGATGCAGTTTCAGCTTTGGTCAAGACTAGGAGAGTGCCACCCCATTAATTATTTCTGATTTGAGGGCATGCAGCAATTCATAGATTTTTGTATGAAAGATCCCTTCATATCAGGCGCATAATTTCACGGGTAAAATTATGTGTGCAAGAATGTATTGTTAATGAATAATTTAAATTGTATTCATATTTAATTTAGGCTAATGGTGTGAATGTAATGCAAATGGTACAGAAAAGAGACAATACAAATGAGACCGTAAAAAGCAGACAAAAAAGATTAAATCCTTTCAATCAACTTTTGACCCTGGATTGTGAAAATTCATAAAATTGTAGGAGGATGGAAGACATTCATTAATTTATGCTAACTGTTATTGCATTTTCAAGCCTTAGCATAGTTTAACCTAGTCTGTTCTCAGACCTTTAGCCTCGCATTAGTTTATTTTAGCTTGCGTTCATCCTTGGCCTGGTCTAGGATAGTTCTGTTTCATCCTTGGCTTCATCCCCATTGAACTTGTTTTTCCTTCCAGGCTTTGAGCTGCAGTTCCGGCTGGGCCCAAGCCTGCAGGCCTTCCCTGTGACCGTCTACACAAACTACCCCGAAGAGGGGGCCGCGTTTGAGAGGGCCCGCTTCCGTGAGCTGCCATGGAAGCACACAGGAGTTGTGGGACAGTCGGACGCATTCTGCTCCATCAAACCCCACATGTCCGGAACATACGAGTTCCACTACGTCTACGGGTGAGACACGCGGAGCAGCTGCCTCGGTAGAGAGGCGACCAAGACTTAGATCCAAGACATTAGGTTTTTGAATCAGAGTCTTGATTGAGAATTGACTGCAGGGGAGACCATATTTCATAATAAGAGTCTTTAGACCAGGTTTTAGGAGTCTTAATTGAGACTTTGCCCCAAGAGAGAGTGGATTTAAGGATCGAAGTCTTGAGACTGGGTTTTGGGATTTGAGTATAGATAGAGCATCAGAGCCTTAATTGAGACTGGGTTTGCGGATCGGAGTCTTGAAACTGGGTTTTGTGAAGGGAGTCTCGACAGAGTCTGCGTTCCGTGCTCGTTCCTTCCAGGGCGGGCGTGAAAGCACGCGGTTACCTCATCGTCGACCCCGAGCTTGCGGTGGGGCCTAGCGACTCTCAGCGCACCCTGCCCCTCGACTGCATTGCCCTCCACACTGTTCTCGCCAAGTGCCTGGGCCCCTTCAGCCAATGGGAGAGCAAGCTGCAGGTCGCCAAGGAGACAGGTGAAGTCAGGGTTCACAGAGGGTCCCCATGGTTCAAGAGGTCATGATGACCATTTAAAGGTAGACTTATCTCAAACATACGGATCTTCTCTTGTAGCCATTACATGAGTTTGCAGCTCATTGGTGAAAAAAACCCTTTTAACTTGATTTTAAGGTGCCCTCTCGTAATATGCATTTGCGTAAAGCCACTGGAAAATGTCCGAAGGTCACTTTTAAAGTATTTTATTAATATTATGAGTCCAGGACACGCAGGCTAAGTGTGTGGTTACTAGAGAAGAGCCGTGTGATGGTTGGGTCATGTCTTCCTTTAATCTTTTCCACTGCCCTTCATTGTCTGTCTTCTGTTCAGTTTCCTAACATGCCCTCCTCTTTCTATCTCCGCACTCCATTGTCTCAAGTGGCCTTCACTGCCCTCCATTTTCTTCTAGGTCTGTCCTCTAAATGCACTCCAATGTCCTTCTTTGTCATTCACTGTTCTATACTCAATTTTCTATGGTGCCCTCCCGTGTCTTTTCCCCCTATCCAATGTCCTTCAGTGCCCTTTATTGTCCTTCTGTATTCCTTTTTAACTCATTATGTCCTCCACTGCTCCTCAGAGCCGTTCTCGACTGATCAGTGCCCTCCGGTGCCCCATTTCTACCCTCCCTCTCCCTCCAATGTCTCTCCAGTCGACACCTAACGATGCATCAGTTCATCCATTAGCATCCATGAGCGCATTGATTTGTGCGTGTGTAGGAATCGATTACGTTTCACTTGTATATGTTGTGTCCAATGGGGGTCACATGACATCTGCAGCCACTAGAGGCCGCTACGATCACCACACCGTTGAGGAAAACATATGAATCTGTCGAATCGGCTTGCGATGCTGAGTCAGGACATCCTATTGAAATGTGAGCATTGGCGAATGATTACAAGTGTGCAATGAAATTCCCTTTCCTACTGCTTGCTGCTCCTCACTGCCCATCCACGCTGCTGCTGCTGCCCCTCTCCCCCAGGCTACAACATGATCCACTTCACGCCACTGCAGGAGCTGGGCGAGTCACGCTCGTGCTACTCGCTCGCCAACCAGCTCCGCCTGAACCCCGACTTCACGGAGCTCGCGGGGACACCAGGATTACCTCGGTCGCCAGGGTCACAGGCCAAGGGGCACGCACCCAGCTGGGATGATGTAGGGGCGCTCGTGGAGGCCATGAGGAGAGACTGGGGGGTCTTGAGCATCAGCGACGTTGTCTACAACCACACAGGTCCGCCGGGGGACGCACGTGGGGGGGGGGGAGGGAGATGGGGATGTGATGGGGACGTACGGGGGGAAGACACGGGACCGAGAGTCGCAGGCATGGGTGGGGGAGAGGGGGAGACACAGTGGGAGACCGGGAGACCGGGAGACACGGGAGACATGAGAGGGAGACACGTGGAGAAAAGAGAGAGACATGGGAAGGAGGAGACACAGAGGGAAGACATGGAGAGATACGGAGATGGTGAGCAGAGAGAAGAAGATAGTGGGGGAGACACAGCGGAGGAGGCGCACGTAGGGGAAGGTAGGCAAACGGAGTAGAAGAGACCCATGGGGAGAGAGGAGGCACAGGAGGAGAGAGATAAGGTGAGAAGCAGAGATACATGAAGTAGAAGGGGAAGACATGGGAAGAAGAGAGATGCATGGATAAAGGGAGACAAAGAGGGACACAGGAATTAGAAGGGCGATGAGGAGAGGAGAAGGGTGACAAGGAGAGGAGAAGGGAGACATGGGGAAGCATGTGGAGGTGTGGATACTTGGAGGGAGAGGGGAGGCACAGAGACAAGCGAAGAGAAAATTTAGACACATTAGAGACATGGTTTGAAGACTGACATTTGCGAAGCACCTGAGATTTGACCCACGATTTAAAATAGCCATGAAAATGTCACTCTAGACGACTCTTGAGCTAAAATTACCAGCGTTTAAAGATAGCACGGATCTGTGAGAGAGCATGCGTGCGTGCGTGCGCGGCTGCGTCTGTGTGTGAGTACGTAGTGTGTGAAGTTGCACGAGTGTGTGTGGATGTATGAGTGTACTGTATTTGCGTGAAAGTGTCTGGCTGTGCTTGTCTGTATGCATGTTTGTCTTGTGTACGTGTGAGTATTTGTGTGTGTGTGTAAGTGTCTTTGTGTGCAGCGGTTCGTGCGTTGCGCTACAAACTCGGCTACCTGAATTCGATTCCTGCTCACGGCCAACATCAGCGACTAATACCTGAATCAGTCTGGGGCCTTCCCTAGGTCGTCTCAGCCTTAAATTAGTACCTGATACTGTGTGTAAAAACATCACTACTGGGTGGGGGATACAAAAGGCAGCTGGGCGGGGTTCTAGCCACACCACCCTCTCACGTTCCATGTTGGCCTTTATTGTTGCTCGCTAACAGCACTTTCCCCAACAGTCTGTGTAGGCTATTACAGGGGATCTTTTTCTTTATCTTTGTGTAAGTTTGTCTCTGTCTGTATGTCCGTGCATATGTACCTTACTTGATGTTCCCCTGGCCGTTTTTCTATTCGCTTTTAATGCTGCTACAATGCGTGCATGTGAAGAAAACGTGGGGGCGGCATTGGGCAGACTGGAAAAATGTGAACAGTGCCCTCTTAGTTGGGCATAAGAACTCCAGCGTGTGGTGCAGCAGGAGGTGGTGGAACTTCACGCCTATCTCTCTATCGGACACGTGCGGGTGACTGGGGAAAAAGCTGGCAGTGCTGTTAGTGGTGCCACAGGCAACTGGCAGCATTTTGAAATTGATAATGATGATAATATAAATAATTATTGAATAAATGGCACGCACACATGCTCCTGAAAAGCATGAGTGCACACAAACATAAATAAGTTTGGTGAACTTTCACTGGGTGCTTGAGCTCATTGCAGAAGCACTCACGAGTAAGAGCTAGTAAGCACAACACAAGCTACAGTGAGGAAAAAAAGTATTTGATCCCCTGCTGATTGTGTACGTTTGCCCACTGACAAAGAAATGATCAGTCTATAATTTTAATGGTAGGTTTATTTGAACAGTGAGAGACAGAATAACAACAACAAAATCCAGAAAAACGCATGTCAAAAATGTTATAAATTGATTGGCATTCTAATGAGGGAAATAAGTATTTGACCCCCTCTCAATCAGAAAGATTTCTGGCTCTCAGGTGTCTTTTATACAGGTAACGAGCTGAGATTAGGAGCACATTCTTAAAGGGAGTGCTCCTATCTCAGCTTGTTACCTGTATAAAAGGCACCTGTTCACAGAAGCAATCAGATTCCAAACTCTCCACCATGGCCAAGACCAAAGAGCTCTCCAAGAATGTCAGGGACAAGATTGTAGAGCTACACAAGGCTGGAATGGGCTACAAGACCATTGTCAAGCAGCTTGGTGAGAAGGTGACAACAGTTGGTGCGATTATTCGCAAATGGAAGAAACAAAAGAACTGTCAATCTCCCTCAGCCTGGGGCTCCATGCAAGATCTCACCTCGTGGAGTTGCAATGATCATGAGAACGGTGAGGAATCAGCCCAGAACTACACTGGAGGATCTTGTCAATGATCTCAAGACAGCTGGGACCATAGTCACCAAGAAAACAATTGGTAACACACTATGCCGTGAAGGACTGAAATCCTGCAGCGCCCGCAAGGTCCCCCTGCTCAAGAAAGCACATATACATGCCCGTCTGAAGTTTGCCAATGAACATCTGAATGATTCAGAGGACAACTGGGTGAAAGTGTTGTGGTCAGATGAGACCAAAATGGAGCTCTTTGGCATCAACTCATCTCGCCGTGTTTGGAGGAGGAGGAATGCTGCCTATGACCCCAAGAACACGATCCCCACCGTCAAACATGAAGGTGGAAACATTATGCTTTGGGGGTTTTTTTCTGCTAAGGGGACAGGACAACTTCACCGCATCAAAGGGACGATGGACGGGGCCATGTACCGTCAAATCGTGGGTGAGAACCTCCTTCCCTCAGCCATGGCATTGAAAATGGGTCGTGGATGGGTATTCCAGTATGACAATGACCCAAAACACACGGCCAAGGCAACAAAGAAGTGGCTCAAGAAGAAGCACATTAAGGTCCTGGAGTGGCCTAGCCAGTCTCCAGACCTTAATCCCATAGAAAATCTGTGGAGGGAGCTGAAGGTTCGAGTTGCCAAACGTCAGCCTCGAAGCCTTAATGACTTGGAGAAGATTTGCAAAGAGGAGTGGGACAAAATCCCTCCTGAGATGTGTGCAAACCTGGTGGTCAACTACAAAAAACATCTGACCTCTGTGATTGCCAACAAGAGTTTTGCCACCAAGTACTAAAAAGTCATGTTTTGCAGAGGGGTCAAATACTTATTTCCCTGATTAAAATGCAAATCAATTTATAACATTTTTGACATGCGTTTTTCTGGATTTTTGTTATTCTTTCTCTCACTGTTCAAATAAACCTACCATTAAAATTATAGACGGATCATTTCATTGTCAGTGGGCAACATACAAAATCAGCAGGGGATCAAATACTTTTTTCCCTCACTGTATATACTTAAGCGCTGCAGTTACACTTTGTTAAGCACTTTGCTAAGCATTTGCAATTGTACGCACTGTTAGGAGGGAGATGTGGAAGGGAAGCGGAGAGACGTAAAGTAGGAAGAAAGGAGAAGCATGGGGATGGTTTTTTGGAGCACTAGTAGCGCTCGCTTAAGTATAAGCATTGCCTCAAGCATTAGTAACTAGTAAGCATTATAGAAGCACGATATTAATATTACATGTTAGTATTAGCGATATCAATGTAGTAATAAAAAGTAGCAGTGCTCTCTTTCACAAACATTAGTAAGCTTGCTTGTATGCACAATCGCTGGCAGGAATTCATTGGTACAAAGTAGAGCGAGCACGTGCAAGGCGCATCGAACCCGACAACCCGAGTTCGATTCCCGCTCACAGCCAACACCAGTGACGATTATTTGAACTGGTTCTGGGCCTCCCCTATGTCGACTCAGCCTCAAATGAGTACCCGGTGTGGTGTGGAAACATCACCACTGGGGAGATAAAGGCGGCCGAGCATGGTGCTGGCCACCCACCTCCTCGTGTGCCGTGCCGGCTTTCATAGGTGCTCGTTAACAGCACTTCACAGTCTGCTAAAGGCGATTTGGGAGTTTTTTTTTGTCTTGTCATTCTTGCAGTATTTCTCCCTCTCCCGGTGTCTCTCCCTCTCTGTTGCCCTATCTCTCTCAGGGGAGTCATTATTATTGTGTCAGGCTCTTAGCCCCTAAGACAATGCCATGGAGGAACCTGGGTTCCAGCCCTGGGTCTGAGTGTCTCTCTTTCTGAGTGTGTGTGTCTCTCTCTCAGCAGATTCATCATGACTGTGTGAGGCTTGCAGCCCCTATGACAGTGTTGTAGACGTGCTAGGTTCAAGCCCTGTCTCTGGGTTTTTCTCTCTCTCTCTCTCTCTGCTCCTCCTCTTCCTCTCCGCCCTCAGCCAGTAATAGTGACTGGATCGGAGATCATCCGGAGTGCGGATACAACCTCTTAAACTCCCCACACCTGCGTCCGGCCTTTGTGCTCGACCGCGCGCTCTGGCACCTCTCCGTTGAGGTGGCTGCCGGGGCCTGGACCAGGAAAGGCCTGCCGCCCTCCATCACCACCGATGCACACCTCCACGTGAGTGCGGCCCTCTGTGTGTCCCTGTGTTTTTCTGTCTGGGTTCATAATGGCCATGTCAGGTTCATAGTGGTCAGTTTCAGGAGACACTCTGAGGCAGCACTGTTGAAGAGAACTGGGTTTAAACAATGGGTCTGCGTGCTGCTACTGATGATGGTGTTGATGATTTTAGTGATTATGACGATAATATAGTTCATGGTAGTGATGGTGTTGATAATGTTTTTTGTGATGTTAGTTTTTTGTGATGATTACAATTCTAGTATGTATTGATGATCTTGACAGTGTGTTGAAGGGGTTGTTGATGGTGGTTGGTGGAGACGATTTTTTTGGTGACAGTATTGATGGTGACGATGATGACGATCATGACGGTGTTGGTGGCGTCGATGGTTTGTAGGCCATACGGGAGGTAATCTATGAGGACGTGTATCCGCGGATTAAGCTGTGGGAGTTTTTCCAAGTCGACTACACCACTGCACTGGAGGCATTCGGCAAGAAAATCAGCGCAGGTAACTCCGCCATAACCATCAGTACCATGGTTGCCACCATTACCATGGTGACCACCATTCTCATGGTTATCCTGGTTTCCACCATTGCCATCGTTACCATGCACACCACCATTTCCAAGTTTTCACAGAAGGAGGGGGCAACAATTGCTTTGTATAATCCCAGTTGAGTAATTTGTGGCATAAGTTTAGAATTTGGTAAAGTTTGGACCCTGATGCAAGCACACAAGGGCCCACTCTTGCAAATGACATCGCAGGATATTTTAAAATCCGCTGCAAAGCGTAGCTCTATTATGGTTAACACACCCGCAAGTAATAATCAGGGCAGCTGCTGGATTCGAAGCGTGAACGTCTGCGTCATTGCCCTGTGGTGATGCTCGCACCTTCCCGTCAACTGGTGCCGTGGTAGCGAAATGTTAACTACCTCGCCTGGTCTATAGGAGGTCGTGGGTTTGATCCTGACCCTGACGCCTCTATATTTGGAGTTTGCGATGTCTCTCTCCCGGGGGTCGCGTGGATTTTTCTCCGGGTCCTCTGGTTTTTCCCCCGATATTTAGAATCAACAGCTACACACCCGGGCTGCGTTGTCCTGGGCTATCCAACATGATGTAATGATTTGTTAATAATAAATAAAGACGTTACCGTAATAGCGAGGCAGGTGCTACCATAGCCCTCTATAGACGTCACTGCATTTATGTTGCGTTAAAATTCTTGGGAGTTACGCTGCAGTGAGCCATGATGATGCGGTGAGCTGTCATTGTTTTTTTATCATTAATGAATCTTGAAACTCCTCGTTGAAGTGCCTAGCTATGAATCTACAGAAGCTGTTTGCCATGTTTGGGCTTCATCTTCTTTTAAATACTTCACAGCCACTTGTAAATATACTGCTGGATGCAGGCTGACCCACACTGTGTTGGTTATGGGGGTGTTTTACTGTACTTCACCGTGCTGGTCAGCGCGGGTTATAGTTAAGGGGATGGGACCAGGACCGGTTCAGATACCCCTCGCCATTGACATTAGCCAGGGCCGGTAATTGAACTTGGGTCGCCGGGCTCAAGGGTGTAGCACATTAACCATTGTGCCACCCGCGTTAAAAACAATGTGTGCTTGTAAAGATGAATAAGTAACGTTATCACTCGCCCCAGAAACTTGTTTAATTGGTTCCCAGAGCGAGCACCGCTATTTCTATATCAAAAACCCCCAAGTGTGCAGCAGGCACTGTACCCCGACCTACATTGGCTCAGCATGGCTGACTGCCAGCGTGCTGCCGTGCGCGGTGACGTTGGCTGCAGTGGTGGCTCCCACAATGCGCCATGCGTCTCGGTGTAGTCGCGTCAACAGGTGACGTCCGACCTATCTCCTCGTGCCATGGTGGCGAGATGTTAACTACCTCGCCTGGTATGCAGGGGGTCGTGGGTTCGATTGTGACCCTGAGAGATGTTAACTACCTCGCCTGGTATGCAGGGGGTCGTGGGTTCGATTGTGACCCTGAGAGATGTTAACTTCCTCGCCTGGTATGCAGGGGGTCGTGGGTTCGATTGTGACCCTGAGAGATGTTAACTACCTCGCCTGGTATGCAGGGGGTCGTGGGTTCGATTCCGACCCTGACGCCTGCATATTTGGGAGTTTGTATGTTCTCCCCATGGTTGCGCGGATCTTTCTCCGGATCCTCCGGTTTTTTCCTCCACATTTAGAATCTACATTCACTTAGAGTATTTGGCTGCTGTTAATTTCCACATGATAAGCCACTTCATTGGGCGCTCATTTGTGGCCAGGTCGCGTTTGAAAAAGAGATATATAGCTCAGTGGGCCTTTACTGGTAATATAAAAAATAGTTTTTAGTTTGTAGTTGAACTGACACTGCCCTGTTCCTTGCCCGCTATCAGACAAGGGCATGAAGGCGGACGGAGAGCACTCTGCGGAGGAGCTGAAGATCATCCAGGACCCCGCGTTCCGCCGCCTCGGCTGCACAGTCGACCTCAACCTCGCGCTCAAACTCTGCCCCCGGAGAAGGTCAGGGGGGTCAACTTCTCAATGGGTCATCAGGTCAAATATCAAACACATCTCAATTGAGATTGGTTTTTGAGAACGGAAATCTCGATTGAGAAGATTGATTTAAATTACTATGGTAATATTAATGATGATGTTGATGCGATGCTCATGTTGATGTAGGCGATGATAACTGTTCGGAAAATAATTATGTAATTCTTGTAATTATGGTGTTGATAGTGATGCTGATGTTAATTATCATGATGATGGTGGTGTTGATTTTTTTATGACAGTGATGGTACTGTGAGTGATGACGGATGCCGTTGGCTGAGATCTCGCCTCGAGGCATTGAACTCCGAGGCTCGGCTTCTCGTGGAAAATCATCAAGCACAGGTGACCCTCTCCCTACCTCTCCATGTCTCTCTGGAATTCTTCCTCTCTGACGCTATCTCCTCCGTCTCTCCCTACGGGTTTAACGACACATTTATAAATTTACGCGATCTAACCCAAACAAAACCTCTTATGAGTTTTTCTCAGATGTCCAGTAGGTGCGGGTCAAAATGTTAGAACAATTGGCTCAACCATTTCGACTATCCGACACAAATCTGTAGCTTTGGGAATTGTAATCAAATACTCAAGTGACTTTCATACGCACTTCCAAATTGATATTGCGACGGGACTGCCGTGTAGTTTTATTCAACGGAGCTGCCATGCCGGTGTCGTTTCCTGAGTTGGATTCCTGGCCACGGCTAACGTCAGCGACCAGTGGCGTCTAAATAGGTCGACTTGGCCTTAAATAAGTACCTGGTGCAGTGTGTAAACCTCAGCACTGTGGAGACATGCATTATGCGTGTGCGTGTTTACATGAAGTGTATATATCGATGAGTGTGTGTGCATTGTAATCATTAGTTCTGGTCTATCCACTGCTGAAGACATATGTATGTGTGTCTCTGTGTGTGTGTGTGCATGTACGTATCCCTCCCCACCCTCCCACCCAGGCGGTGAACTGCATCTTGGGAACAGTTCGGTACGAGCGAATGGCGGAGCAGGGCCCCAAGCTCGGAGCCATCACACGCAAGCACCCGCTCGTGACCCAGTGAGTCCCCTACTCGGCCTGCTCCTTGGCAGCCTCTTCACGAGCCCTCTACCCTGCCTTTCCCCCCCCCCCCACCGATCTTTTAATCAGCCGGTAAATCAACCCTTCAATCAGCCCTCCAATCAGTTCTTTAATTTATTCTTTATCCTCCTCTTTAACCATCATCATCAGTCAGTGATGATCAATCTGCTGCTGGATGAAGCTGTCGCCACCACCGCCATCCCTGCAATGATCTGTCCGGCACCTGGACACAAGGCGATCTCTTCGCTCCATCTCGGCCGGGGGGACGTCACCTCGGGCGTATTTCCGTCCTTCATCTGCCACTCCGTCATTCGTTTCGCCCGCCGGCCATCGTCCTGCCCAAGCCCCCACACTCACTTTGTTCAACAGTTTTATCCTTCGTATGTTCTCGTAATCCGTGCATTTTAAGTGCTGTCTCTCTGTGCAATTCCAAGCATGCATCTCTTCCCTGGCTTGTTGGCGCACTTTTCAAGTTTTCGTTCCATTTTCTTTGGTGGTGTCCATGTGTTTCTGATCCACGTTGTATAAACCATCACGCAAACTCTGGTCATCCTCGCAGTGGCTTTTGGCGTGCCTCTGAACCCTTTCAGGTGCTCTTCTGTGGCCGTTTGGAACGCTCTTCGTTCCAATCATAGGAAGGCACTGGAGCCTTGCACTTAAATCATCATCATAGATTGAAAACTCATTTTCTTTGCAACTTATTTTTGTGCTTAGTTTGTTGTCCTTTCCTGCACCTCCGATTAGCACGGTTGGCTATGCACAGTGCGAAAGAAGTTCTACATACATTTATACATCAGGTGTTACCCACTGCCTCGTAACTTCCTTCTTTTGCCACGTTGTTGCGTTGGTTTTCATCCGACCCTCGTCAAATTCGAAAGTCGGAGGAGTGGCGCGGGGCAGCGCTCGTTTCGGTGTTTTTCGGAGGCACCTAGGTGGCTGCTGGAAATTCCACGTTCCTATGACCTGGGCTGCAGGTACTTCATGTTCCCGATGAAGGATGAGTTTCTGCTGGGGGAGGAGGAGGAGATGATGTTCGACCCCAAAACATCGTGCCGCTTCCTCGCCTTCAACGGCTGGGTCATGGGCGACGACCCCCTCCGCAACTTTGCTGAGCCAGGTAAGGGGAGACAAGAAAGACAAAGATCCCCTGTATAGCCTCAAACAGACTGTTAGAGCGAGTGCTGTTAGCGAGCACCTATAAATGCCAGCATGGCACATGTGGGGGTGGGTGGCCAACACCGTGGATGGCCACCTTTGTCTTCTTAGTGGAGAAGTTTACACACCACACCACGTACTCATTTGAGGCTGAATCGACCTAGGGGAGGCCCAGGACCGGTTCAGATAATCGTCACTCGTATTGGCCGTGAGCGGGAATCGAACCCGGATAGCCAGGTTCGTAGCGCAGTGCGTTAATCGCTCTACTACAGACAAGACGGATAAACCGAAAGACAGACGGACATGAGTGTGGATCCACTCAGATACTTTGCATAACCAGGTGAGCAGAGAGACAAAAATAGATATACACACTGATAGACACACGGGCAGAGAGGAAGATGAACAGACACAGACAGAGACACAGACTGATCGTCTGCACACAGACAAACAGACCACCCTACATCTCCTTTCTCTTCACTGAATCTCCATTCTCCCCCCCCCCCACTGTGTGTCCCTCCTCTTTCCGCGGGTCCGTTACCCCCAGGCTCTAACGTGTACATCAGACGGGAGCTTGTTTGCTGGGGTGACAGTGTGAAGCTGCGCTACGGACGCGGCCCCAGCGACTGCCCCTTCTTGTGGGCGCACATGCGCGCGTACACGGAGCTCACGGCAAAAACCTTCCATGGCATGAGGCTCGACAACTGCCACTCGACACCCCTACATGTCGCAGAGGTGAGGGGGGAGCGGGGAGGAGCGGGGAGGAGCGGGGAGGACCAGGGACGCATGGGGGATGAGGAAACGAGGCGCGGGGGAGTAAGAGAGAGATTAATAGAGATACAGGGAGGTGGAGGGAAACAGGCAGGTGAAGTGATACACAGGGAATCGAATGGATACATTGAATTAATGGATACATTAATTTATAACATTTTTGACATGCGTTTTTCTGGATTTTGTTGTTGTTATTCTGTCTCTCACTGTTCAAATAAACCTACCATTAAAATTATAGACTGATCATTTTTTTGTCAGTGGGCAAACGTACAAAATCAGCAGGGGGTCAAATACTTTTTTCCCTCACTGTACATAGGGAGTAGGAGGGAGACGGAGAGGTGAAGAGATGGACGAGGGAGGTTTATGGAGCAGCAGGAAAACACAGGTTGGAGAACGGAGGTGAGATACAGAAAGAGGAAGGAGACAGGGTGAGGAGGAAGAGGCATCCAGAGAAAAGCAACATCAGGAGGAGAAATTATGAGCATGGCAAAATACTATAAAAGAGAAGCAGAGACACAAGTAGGTGAAAGGAGATGCATGGAGGCAAAGGAAGACATAGGGTATAGAAGGGAGGTACATTTATCTACATGTGTTGTTCTTAGGTCTCAGTTTCTAATGGATGTATGCTGTGACTTTGACCCTACTTGTTTCCCCATGTGTCTGCACGTGTCTCCCCGTGTCTTCTTGTGTCTCACCATGTCTCCCCACGTCTATGTGCGACTCAGTACATGATGGACGCGGCCCGCAGCGTCCGCTCGGACCTCTTCCTCCTGGCCGAGCTTTTCACCGGCAGTGAGGACCTCGATAACGTCTTCGTCACGAGACTCGGCATCACGTCCCTTGTCCGAGGTGAAGGGACACACGGGGAGGAGGAGGGACACACGGACAGGGCGAGGAGGGATGCACGTGGGGGAGGAGAGACACGCGGGGAGGGGGAGAGAGACATAGGGAGGAGGAACAACACAAGGGGATCCATACTCTCTGGGTTTTTCGGTAATGTCACGTAGATAGGTTCAAAGAAAATAACAAACCTATCTACGTGACTTTTACCGAAAGTCTCAGAGAGTGTGAATTCCTGCAGTCACGAACGCTTTAAGTCAAGACACAAGGGGAGGTGAAGGGACACTCGGGCAGGAGGGGGGGACACATGGGGGGAGGAAGGACAAACATGGGAGGGAGGAGGGACACGGAGAGGCAGAGGAGGGAAACACGGGGAGGAGAAAGGAGACACTGGGAAAATAGTGGAGACGTGGGAAGGTGAATGGCAACACGGTAAGGAAAAGAGAGACACAAGGAGGAGTAAGGGAAACATGTGGAGAGGGAGACAATGGAAGACTCAGGAAGATAAAGGGAGATATTTGTAGGAGACAGAAAGCTAAAGGGGGACACAGGGAGGTAACTGGAAATACAAATTCATGGAAAATTAGATGCGAATGAAGGCAAAAGGAGTATAGGACAACTAGGCATGTTAAAGGCCTCTTGGGCAAGTGAAAGATCCGGGGGAGGTTATGGGCCAGGCTGAGAGACAGGGGGAAGAGAGGGGAGCCCCGTGGACTTTAACGGTGCCACCGCGACGTGAGTCACTGAGATGCGTTCACGCCCGCTTGTGCTGCTGCCGTTGTGTCGACACAGAGGCCTTGAGCGCCGGCAACAGCCATGAGGAGGGGCGCCTCGTCTACCGCTACGGCGGCGACCCCGTGGGCTCCTTCATCCAGCCGGGGTTCCGTCCGCTCACCCCCGGCATTGCCCACGCCGTCTTCATGGACATCACCCACGACAACGAGTGCCCCATCCAGGTGCCCGGGCTCCCACGTCCCTCCAGCCAGACCAAGACCGGGATTCAGGGTCAGAGTCTCCATTGAGACTTTTATATGAGACTCAAACTGGGATTAAATGTCAGGCTTTTTGAGACTCTTAAAAACCAGGCTTCATCATCAGTCGTTATTGAGACTCCCAGGCTTAAATATTGGAGTCTTGATTTGGACGTGTCACCATATGTCCTTATGTGTCTCCTCGTGTGCCTATGTAACCCCTTGTGTCCTTCCCTGCTCCGGTGTATCCCCACGTATCCCTGCGCGTCGCCGTGCATGTCTGCGACACAGCTGCGTTCCGTCTACGACTCGTTTGCCAGCGCTGCCATTGTCGCCATGGCCAACTGCGCCACTGGGAGCACGAGGGGCTACGATGAGCTGGTCCCCCACCAGGTGAGCGAGTGGGCAGCACAGCAAGTAGGATGTTGCCTACGAGCATCTGCCTGTGTCAAAGTGTTTTTTTCCTCTTGCTATGCACGGTGGGTTTTTCTCCGAGCACTCCCGATTCCTCCCACAGGAAACGGAGAGAGACGGTGCTCTGCTTTAATTCATGTCAAGTTGCTGCTTCGTTGAACTTGTATGTCAACTAACTTAAAATGTCGTGGTCGAAAAACGAACTCAAAACTAACTTAACACGTAGGCTTTCGTGACCAATATCATCCATAAGAGGTTTTTTTTGGGTTAGATCGCGTAAATATATAAATGTGTCGTTAAACCCGCCACCACCCGACACAGCCAACTAGTAAGGGTTGTCACGTAAACAGAACGTGCCAATTCCTCACTAGTACAGCACACCAGTGTGTTGGAGAGCCAAGCCACAACATTTACAATCTGAGTAGGACGTTTCGCCAGTAAGTACAACTAGCTTAATCAGGCAACAGACAGATTTGGCTGTGCTGTACTTATGGATCAAAGCTAACTTATAGCATCATTGTACATAAACTAACAGCTTTATTTCAACTCTCACTGAGATCATAAGATCGCCCATCTGCGAGAACCATTGAGTTTCACAGAGACAAAGTCGTATATAGTCTCGGCTGGGAGGGTTGGTGGACTCGCTGAACAGCAATGAGTTGTCAATGTTTGAAAATGTTTGAATACGCGATTGAGTTTCTGATTGAATCAGAATCAGAATATTTATTTATATTGGAGGAATACGATGAACTGTGAAGCTCATTATTGTCGCTGGGCACGTCCAACATGGCCATTGTGAACCTGCACAATATGCGTGTTTGTAGGGAGCAGTAGCTCAGTGGTGACTACACTGCACTACAAACCCGGCGACCTGAGTTTGATTCTCGCTCACGGCTGATATTGGCAGTGAAGATTTGAACCGGATCCTGGGAAAAGGCAGCGAGCGTGATGCTGGCCACCCACCCCCTAGTTTGTTGTGCTGGCCTTCATAGATTACTGCGAACAGTACTTGCTCCTATAGTCTGTTAAAGCTGTATGGGTGGTCATTGTCTTCCTCGCGTGGTGAGTGCAGGTGTCGGTAGTGTCGGAGGAGCGGCTGTACGCGTCATGGGAGGCTGCGTGTGACCCCGCCTCCCCCGGGACTGTGGGGTTTAACTCGGGGATCCTGGCTGGGAAACTGGCTCTGAATCAGCTCCACCACCAGCTCGGGCTTCATGGCTTCTCCCAGGTACCGCACGCGCTCAGCCACTGCATGCTTAGTGTTCATGGCCCCTGTGAACGTCTAACTCTGGGTGAAGGGCTTCCCATGCCTGGACTTCCAACGGTGGCTGTGGTAAGAGAGTTCCATCCGGACAACTGGGGATAGCCAGAAAATGTGGATTGGGGGCTTCAGTTTCAAACAACACACAAACACACGTAAAGAGCGCACGCACGCGCAGCCACTGTAGATTATGCGGAAACCATCGGCCTTCTACTCTCCGTGCTTATTCCTCCGTATCTGTCCCCATGTGTCTCCCTCTTCTCCTCCCCGTGTCTCTTCGTGTTTCTCCTACCCCTCCCCATGTGTCTCCCCCACATCCTCCTCCACGTGTGTCCACGTGTCTCCTCCCCCAGGTATACGTAGACCAGGTGGATGCGGACATCGTGTCGGTGACACGGCACTGTCCGCACACGCACCAGTCGGTGGTGTCAGTGGCGCGCACGGCGTTCCGCGACCCCGAGAGTGCGCACTACCCCCGCGACGTGCCCTCCATGTGCATCCCGGGTGAGCCACCCTACTCCTGCGTATGATGACAATGATGATCATGATTATGGTGGTCATGTGAATAATGATGATGATGGTGATTGTGGTAATGGTGATGGTCATGATCACGGGTTGGCAACCAAAAGAACAAGAATATATTTTTTATAATAAGGTTAAAAAAGACCCTCAATATTAAAAGAACCGCAATGCACGTAAATAATGTCATGGAGCAGTCCTTGAAGAGCCGCATGCAGCTCCGGAGCCTGAGGTTGCCGACCCATGGTCACGATAATGGTGGTGATGATGATATTGAGGTGGATGATGATTGTGGTGGTGAAGGTAAGGATGGTGATGATGATGATAATTATCGAGGTGCTGATGGTCATGTTGATATTGATTGTGGTGACAATAATGTTGGTGTTATTGTGTTCATAATACTGCTGTTGATGCTGCTGTTGCTGATGTTTATGATGTGTTGCTGCTGCAAATGGTCATGATTAGGATATTGCTGCTTATGTCTATGATGCTGCTGCGTACAATTGTGCTGTTGATATTTATGATTATACTGCTGCTGATATTTATGCTACTGCTGCTTCTGTTGTCTACGACGGTGCTGCTGATACTGATGATGGCATTGCCGGGGGGGGGTTCCTGGGAGCAGGTAAGATCGAGGAGATCGTGCTGGAGGCTCGCACCATCACTCGCAAGGGCCACGAGTTCGTTAAGAGCAACAAATTCATCAATGGCCTCCTCCGCTACACGGTGGACATCACCCAGCACATCCAGGTGACAGCTCCTTCGCACGGCGCACGAGGTCAGGTTCCTGCACAGGGTCCTCGGTGTCCCTCAAGGAGACAGAGATTGAGATGAGGGAGGTTCTCCGGTGCTTTTCCAGTCGGTCTTTTAGGTCTTGCATTAGTTTCAAAAGTGCCTCAAGGATTTTTATTAGGTATAGGGAGGTTCTCAAGGTCCTCGAGGTTCTTTAGTGCATCGACTGGGTCATCCAGGTCTTTGATTAGGTCCATTGGTCCTCATGTTCTTTGAGGAGGACCACAGGTTCCTTTGTAGATGTAGGCTATTCTCAAAAAATTGCATGCGCTCCGTCGAGACTCCGGACCGCGCTGCCTTCATCGCCGTCTTCATCCCGCACCTCCTATTAGCACGGTTGGCTACATATGTGGTGAAAGGAATTCTACTGTACATACAGTCTTCTGATTTTGCTGTCATTCCGTAACCCACCTTGAGGGTTGACATGTGGAGCGGATTATGAGAATGAATGATTACGTCATCATCGACATTATTTTGTAATTATGATTATCCCCCCCTGACCCCCCCACCCCCGTCTCCCCCCTGTACTCCATGTGCCCATGTCTCATGGGCGAGCAGCTCAAGGAGAGCGAGATGGTGGAGCTCTCCCAGGCTGGCTCGGGCAAGGGTGGCGCCTACGTGCAGGAGATAGAGTTCGTCACCTTCCCTCCCGGCAGCGTCATTGTTTTCAGGTTCGGTGGGGACACGGGGGGGTGGGGCGGGAACCTACAGGGAGTGGGGGAGACACGGATAAAGAGATAGAGAGAGGCTTCAGAGTAGAGAGAGGTTTACAAAGGATGGAGGAGTGGAGGAGGGGGGGAAAGGAGACAGACACAGAGAGGTATGGAGATAGAGAGAGAGACAGAGAGACGTGGGGAAAGAAACACATGGAGAGTAAATGTTGCGGATTTACTCTCCAATACACTGGTGTGCTGAACTATTAACGAATGTTTTGTTCACGTGACAGACCTAACTAATTGGCTGTGTCGCATGGTGGTGGGTTTAACGACACATTTATATTTATGCTCTCTAACCCACAAAAACACCCTCTATTATGGATAATATTAGTCGTGAAAGCCTACGTGTTAAACATGGAGAGTGACTGACACTGCGAGACGTGAGTAGAGACACGGGGGAGACGTAGTGTGAGAGAGAGACATGGGGAAGAGAAAGAGGGAGACATAGGTGCAGAAAATATGGAGAGAGACACACACATATATCGGGGAGAGGGACACATATACACAGGAAGATACAGTGAGGGAGAGAGAGAAACACAGGGAGAGCAGGAGCTAGAGGGAGAATCACCAAGAGAGATAGGTGGAGATAACAGAAACTTGGAGAGTGACAGAGGACACAGTCATTATGGAAAACAGAGAAAGCGAAACATAGAGACATGGAGAGAAACCGGGAGACATGGAGAGAAAGAGACATAGAGAGAGAGACACACAGGGACAGTCACAAAGATGGAGAAACAGGGAAGGAGATACATCAACAACAACAACAACTGCCATTCGCCACTAAGTGGCGGTGACGTCACCACGACACTTGTGCCAGGCCATGTGCACCTTAAGGCCACGTGAAGTGTCGAACGCCCACGGGCAGGAGGTCACGGGGCAGACCCAAGTGCCACGGGTCGACTGACTAAGATGACTGAGATGACTGGCTGATGCACCACCTGTGCCCCCTACTGTGCCAACCTGCTGTGCTTTAGCCACCCGGCGCTCCGCTCGTTGTTGTGAGCGTCGCTCCTCCGCCCTCCGTTATTGTTGGAGGGCGACTGCCTCAAACTGCCCAGTAGCGTCCTTCACGAGCCTCCTCCACAGAGGCCGATCTTGACACCGCTGGTACCAGTCCTCGGCAAGTCCACTCAGCTCCACGTCCTCCTGTACCACATCACTCCATCTCTTCTCTAGCCCGTGCCACGCCCGTTTAGCCCCCTTGATCCGGCCGAACAAAAGCTGTTTCGGCATGCGGTGGCTGGGCATGCGGGCTACATGACCCAGCCATCGCAGCCTTGCCTGCCGGAGGAGCTCACCAATGGGACCTTGCCCAGATCTTTCAAAGATACATGAGCACTCACACAGAGACATGGAGAGACGGAAAGAGAGTGTGTATACGAGTGTAATTGAACCTTACCCCCCCCCCCCGACTCCTCACCTCTTACCCATCTCACCCTTCAGGGTGAGTCTGGACCCTGAAGCCCAGGCGGCCGTCTCGTCTCTGCGTGCTCACCTCGTGCAGTTCAGCCCACACTTCCGCAAGGGGAGTTCCAGTCCCGTTGAAGGTCACCCACCCTTGACGGCCATGAACTTCAGCGCGTGAGTCTGCACATTGCACGTGTATGACACCCACGGTGGCTTGATGTTAACTTTCTAGATTTGAAGTTTTCGTGACTGCAAAGATCCATACTCTTTGGTTCTTTTCGGTAAAGTCACGTAGGTAAAGAAATTAAATAAAATAAGAATAAAAAGAATCAAAGATGTTAACTACCTCGTCTGGTATACAGGAGGTTGTGGGTTCGATCCCGACCCTGATACCTGTATATTTGGAGTTTGCATGTTCTCCCCATAATCACGTGGATTTTTCTCCGGGTCCTCCGGCTTTCCCCCCCACAATTAAAAACACACTTCTTAAAAAGAGCTATATACAGTGAGGGAAAAAAGTATTTGATCCCCTGCTGATTTTTTACGTTTGCCCACTGACAAAGAAATGATCGGTCTATAATTTTAATGGTAGGTTTATTTGAACAGTGAGAGACAGAATAACAACAAAAAAATCCAGAAAAACGCATGTCAAAAATGTTATAAATTGATTTGCATTTTAATGAGGGAAATAAGTATTTGACCCCTTCTCAATCATAAATATTTCTGGCTCCCAGGTGTCTTTTATACAGGTATAGAGCTGAGATTAGGAGCACACTCTTAAAGGGAGTGCTCCTAATCTCAGCTTGTTACCTGTATAAAAGACACCTGTCCACAGAAGCAATCAATCAATCAGATTCCAAACTCTCCACGATGGCCAAGACCAAAGAGCTCTTCAAGGATCTCAGGGACAAGATTGTAGACCTACACAAGGCTGGAATGGGCTACACGACCATTGGCAAGCAGCTTTGTGAGAAGGTGACAACAGTTGGTGCGATTATTCGCAAATGGATGAAACGCAAAAGAACTGTCAATCTCCCTCGGCCTGGGGCTCCAGGCAAGATCTCACCTCGTGGAGTTGCAATGATCATGAGAACGGTGAGGAATCAGCCCAGAACTACACGGGAGGATCTTGTCAATGATCTCAAGGCAGCTGGGACCATAGTCACCAAGAAAACAATTGGTAACACACTACGCCGTGAAGGACTGAAATTTTGCAGCGCCCGCAAGGTCCCCCTGCTCAAGAAAGCACATATACATGCCCGTCTGAAGTTTGCCAATGAACATCTGAATGATTCAGAGGACAATTGGGTGAAAGTGTTGTGGTCAGATGAGACCAAAATGGAGCTCTTTGGCATTAACTCAACTCGCCGTGTTTGGAGGAGGAGGAATGCTGCCTATGACCCCAAGAACACCATCCCCACCGTCAAACATGGAGGTGGAAACATTATGCTTTGGGGGTGTTTTTCTGCTAAGGGGACAGGACAACTTCACCGCATCAAAGGGACGATGGACGGGGCCATGTACCGTCAAGTCTTGGGTGAGAACCTCCTTCCCTCAGCCAGGGCATTGAAAATGAGTCGTGGATGGGTATTCCAGCATGACAATGACCCAAAACACACGGCCAAGGCAACAAAGGAGTGGCTCAAGAAGAAGCACATTAAGGTCCTGGAGTGGCCTAGCCAGTCTCCAGACCTTAATCCCATAGAAAATCTGTGGAGGGAGCTGAAGGTTCGAGTTGCCAAACGTCAGCCTCGAAACCTTAATGACTTGGAGAAGATCTGCAAAGAGGAGTGGGACAAAATCCCTCTTGAGATGTGTGCAAACCTGGTGGCCAACTATAAGAAACGTCTGACCTCTGTGATTGCCAACAATGGTTTTACCACCAAGTACTAAGTCATGTTTTGCAGAGGGGTCAAATACTTATTTCCCTCAATAAAATGCAAATCAATTTATAACATTTTTGACATGCGTTTTTCCGGATTTTTTTGTTGTTATTCTGTCTCTCACTGTTCAAATAAACCTACCATTAAAATTATAGACGGATCATTTCTTTGTCAGTGGGCAAACGTACAAAATCAGCAGGGGATCAAACACTTTTTTTCCCTCACTGTAGCTCAGTGGGCCTTACCTAGTTAAATAAAACAGAGTTTAGTTTTTTGTCTAGGGAGGTGCACGCTGCAGCAATGACACGATGACTTGACTACGCGCTTTTTAAAAACGTTTCTCAATATAATTAAAATTCTGTGGTCGCTATCGGCATCCTGATGGCATGATGAGTGCAGCCCCCTCATATTAGAGATCTCTTTGATTGACCACTTCTCGACACATTAGGGGACAACAACACAACCCTAGCTGCCCTGCCAAAGTCAAACCCAATATTTGTAATTTCTCAGAGCTGGAAATTAGCCAACTCAAAACTGAAGCAAAACTAATATGACGGTTTCTTGTGCATCGGTGCCTGGACTGAGACCACCATCAACGCATGACAGTCGAGTACCCAGTTTAATCACAAGTGGTTGTCTGGATTTGAACCCAAGGAAGTCAGCAGTGCTATTTCCAGCACTCTCACCTCTGAGCCATCTGGCCACCTTTCCCCCCCAACCCCCCCCTCATTGTAATTGAGTTGAATATCAATCACGACTCCAGTCCTTAAGTCCAGATCTCCCACAGCCAAGTCTCAATCTCAGAGTCTTTGGTACCGAGACCCATCGTCGTTTTGATCTTAATAATTTTTTCCTGTCTCCCCTCCCCCATCTTCCCCGTGCACGTCTCAAGCCTCGTGTCTCAGCTGTCCCTGGCCGACATGAACATCCTCCTGTACCGCTGTGACGCCGAGGAGAAGGAGGATGGAGGCGGCGTCTACAACATTCCCGGGATCGGGGGCCTCACCTACGCTGGCCTGCAAGGTTAGGGGGGCAGATTTATATATTTATATATATCATGTTTTATATTGTGGTAAGCATGCAAGCAGAATAGGATAAGCAATTAGTATGTTTGGAATAGAAAGTGATGGGAAGGAAAGTGTTGCATCAGGAAGAGTAGATGTATCAGGAAGAGGAGGTTGTGATGGGTGGGCACTTCTGCAGAATTGGGTAGGGTTAGGGTTCCACGGTACCTGGCATTGGAGTTGCACCCAGAGGTCAGTAACCATTACCACTGTCATTGCCACTACCCACACGCTTACCACTAACAGCATCACGATCAGTACCACCACTATCATTGCCATTACTGCTGCCGACCACCATCATCACCAATATGGCCTTCATCACCATTATCTTTATCACCACCACCACCACCATCACACTTTGTTAACGCTGCTCTCTATCTCTCTCCGTGTCCCCCCCAGGCTTTATGTCCATCCTGGCTGAGATTCGTTCGCGGAACGACCTCGGCCACCCGTTCTGTGACAACCTTCGTGCGGGTGACTGGATGCTGGACTACATCAGTGGGCGACTCCTGTCCAAGGACGGGCCCCTCGTCGAGGTGAATGAGCGTGCACCGATTGGTTCATTTATGGCCAATCGGGAACTCCGATATTGACTGCTGCCCCCTTCTTCAGTGACCTTTGCCCTCTTGTTTCCCTGTGTTTCTGTGTATTTCTCCATGTCTCTGCACACTTCATGTCTCTCCGTGTGTCCCTGTGTGACTCCGCGTCACTGTGTCTCTGCGTGTCTCAGGGTGTCTGTATCTCACCTTGTCCCCCCGTATTTTAAATTGAAAACTATATTTTTTAAGAACTGCTTTTTGTGCGTAGTTTGTTGTCCTTCCCCCGCACCTCCGATTAGCATGGTTAGCTATGTACGGTTGCTAACATACATAGTTACATGTCTCTGCGTGTCTCTGCTAGGTGGGACGCTGGTTCCAGACGATGTTTGCACTGCTGAGGAGGATCCCGCGGTACCTGGTCCCATGCTACTTTGACGCCATCATGCTGGGGGCCTACACCACAACGCTGGACACCGTGTGGGAGAAGATGTCTCCGTACGGATCACACAGACACTCGCACACAAAGACAAAGATCCCTCTACAACCGAAACATTCTGTTGGGGAAAGGGCTGTTAGCGAGTAGCACCTATGAAGCTCAGCACGGCACAGGAGTGGGTGGGTGTCCAGCACCACGCCCGGTCACCTTTGTCTCCCCAGTGGCGATGTTTACATACCACATCAAGTACTCATTTGAGGCTGAATCAGAAACGATTTGGATAATCTTCACTGGTGTTGGCCATGAACGGCAATCGAACTCAGGTTGCCCGGGGTTCGTAACGCAGCATGCTTAACACTCCTCCACCGCTCCCCATCCTGACATACAGACACTCACGCAGATACTCACACACACACTCACTCACGCAGACACCTACGCACACACTCACTCACGCAGACACTCACGCACACACTCACTCACGCAGACACTCGCACACACACACTCACTCACGCAGACACTCTCGCACACACTCACTCACACAGACACTCACTCACGCAGACACTCTCGCACACACTCACTCACGCAGACACTCTCGCACACACTCACTCACACAGACACTCACACACACACTCACTCACGCAGACACCCACGCACACACTCACTCACACAGACACTCACTCACGCAGACACTCACGCACACACTCACTCACGCAGACACTCACGCACACACTCACTCACGCAGACACTCTCGCACACACTCACTCACGCAGACACTCACACACACACTCACTCACGCAGACACCCACGCACACACTCACTCACGCGGACACTCACGCACTAATTTACAGCCATGATGAATCTGACCCGGCTACGATACATCTGAGCGGTACCATGGTGCGTGCACGTGCAGCTTCGTGAAGCAGGGCTCGTCATTCGTGCGGGAGCTCGCCCTGGGCTCGGTGCAGCTCTGTGGCGTTGGCCACGTGCCCGCGCTGCCGCCGCTGTCGCCACTGCTCGGGGACGTCCCCACGCGCACACAGGCGGACACGGGGAGACGGGAGCAGTGCTGCATCTCCATTGCTGCAGGTGAGATGCACGGGGACATGGGGTGGGGATGGGGGAGACAAGCAGGGGGTCACAGACATTTGGACACATTGTTACGTGCAACAGAGAGACAGATTGATAAATAGGTGGACACGGAGTCCTCTCCCTGTATGTATCTCCCCATGGACATCTGTGAAAAAGAGCTTTATAGCTCATCGGATTCCTTCAGTCTAAACAAAGATCCTGATGTCTCTGTCCTCATCTATTCTTACGTCTCCCTGATCCCCCTCCCTGTCGCCCTCCTCCCCCCGTGTCTTCTTGTTCTCCCACCCCCCCCCCCCCCGTGTCTCCCTGTGTCTCTCAACTCCCCCTCCCCCCCCACCTGTCATATCTCCCTCCCCCCCGTGTCTCCCTCCTCCTCCCTGTGTCTTCGCCTGTCAGGTCTTCCTCACTTCACAACGGGGATTTTCCGCTGCTGGGGCAGAGACACGTTCATCGCTCTCAGGGGACTCCTGCTGCTCACGGGGAGATTCATTGAGGCCAGGTACTGTCCAAAATCTAGGTTGGCTCCGACTGACAGTTCTTGGTAAATAGCAGCTGCTATTGTTGTTGTTGTGTGTGTGTGCACATATGCGTGTGTTTGTGTGTGCGTGTGTGTTGTTGACCCCCCCACCTCCGCCTGTGCCGTGCCCGCCTTAATAGGTGCTCGCCAACAGCACTTGTCCCAACAGTCTGTTATGGGTTGGATGGGGGATCTCTGTCTTTATTATTATTGGTGAGGTTAAGGGCCATAATTCTTGTATTGTTACACTGGGACCATCCCATAGCAGGTTCCCTCAAGCGGTAACCCATGCATATGGGCGCGTGCGCGTGTGAAGGAACATCATTCTCGCTTTTGCCGGGACCCTGAGACACGGCCTCATCCCCAACCTCCTGGGCCAGGGAGTGCACGCGCGCTACAACTGCCGCGACGCCGTGTGGTGGTGGCTGCAGTGTGTGCAGGTGGGGACACACAGCGCTCTCTGTCGGGTGGTGCTGCTGGGTTAACGACACATTTCTATTTAATCTAACCCTTTATTGCACCTTTACCTTATTAATGTTACCTCCTTGTGTTCACATCCCAGCTCTGCCCTGCAGCAGAAATTTGTTATCTGCTGTGGCTGTAAGTTGAGGGCATTGGTTTGATGATTGGCAGAGTGGCTTAATACTAATGGGTCCCTTTGCTCTCCACTCTCCATGTTGCTGCTGCTGCTGTTACCGCCAGGATTACTGTGTGCTGGCCGACAAGGGGAGGGAGATCTTGGCTCTGCCCGTCTCACGGATATTTCCCACGGATGACTCCGACCCACAGCCGCCAGGAGCTGTGGTAAGAGCATGAAGGATGGTAGTTGTGGTGTTGATGGGTGTGATGTTGGTCATGTTGGAAATGATGATGATGATGATAATGATGGTGATGTTGTGCAGTGCAACTGTTTACGCACTGCGCTACAAACCCGGCGACCGAAGTTCAATTCCTGCTTATGGCCAACACCAGTGACGATTATCTGAACGGGTCCTAGGCCTCCCCGAGGTCGACTCAGCCTCAAATAAGTACCTGGTGCGATGTGTAAACATTGCCACTGGGGAGAGAAAGGCGGCCAGGCATGGTGCTGGTCACCCATCACCTCGTGTACCATGCTGGCCTTCATAGTTGCTTGCTAACAGCACTTGACCCAAGTTTGTTAAGGCTATAGGGGGGATCTTTGTCTTTGATGTTGATGGTGGGGGTGGTGGTGGTGATGATGGTGAGGGTGGTAAGTGTAGGGGTGGTGGTGATACTGCTGTTGGTGGTGGCGTTAAAGATGATAATGATGACAGAAGTGTTGGTGGTGGTGTGGAGTCGATGGTGTTGGCAGTGTTGATGATGATATTGATACTGCTGATAACAGTGACGAAGAAATGGTAATATTGTCTCCACTTTTGTTTACGATGTTGATAATTTTCCTGCGGCTGCTGCTGATGCTGACGATGGTGTTGGTGATGTCGATGCAGGATCAGCCGCTGTATGAGGTGATCCAGGAGGCCATGCAGAGACACGCACAGGGCATTGCGTTCAGAGAGAGAAACGCGGGGCCAAACCTGGACCGCTGCATGAAGGAGGAGGGTACGAGTGCAGCCGTGTCCATCATCCCCCTCAACATCCCCACAGCCCCTAACACCTCTCCAGCATCTTCCTCAGCATTACCACACATCGATATGCCTTCCTGTGTCTCCCTTTTCATCCTCATGTCACCCTTATTGATCCCTCCCCATTTGTCTCCCTTCTTACCGTGTCTCTCCCTTCTCCCCGTGCAGGGTTCTACGTCTCTGTGGGAGTTGACCTGAAGACGGGCTTCGTGTACGGCGGAAATCGCTACAACTGTGGCACATGGATGGACAAGATGGGAGAGAGTGAGCGGGCGGGAAACCGGGGCCTGCCAGCCACACCACGGTACACGGGGAGGAAGAGGGAGACATGGGGAGGAGGATGCAAACATAAGGGAGAGAAGTGGGAGGGTGGAGGAGACGGGAGGAGGAGATGTGGGGAGGGGGAGGAGATACGGGGATGGGAACCAGAGCAAGATTGGGAGACAGGCTGGAGGAGGGACGCAGAGTGCAAGGAGAGAGACATGGAGGAGGAGTAACATATGTGGGGGAAGAGAAAGGAGGAGAAAGTCACTGGATGCACGATCACATATGGTGCTCTGAACAGTGCGTTGTGAACGGTTTGCCCTGACCCCTTGTGTGCCGTTTTCTGACAGGGATGGCTCTGCGGTGGAGATCGTGGGTCTCTGCCGCTCGGCCGTGCGGTGGCTGTCCGAGTTGCACAGGAAGGGCGCCTTTCCCTACGACGGCGTCAGCATCGACGTCGATGGTACAGGCTCACGATCGCCGTGCCGGAGACACTGAGATGGTCCCGCCTAGGTCATGGGTTCCATCCCTGCGTTTGGGCATCTCTCAGATTCTGTCTGTGTGAATTTAAAGAATTCCACATTCCTGTGCTGGAGTCCAGTCTGTCCTTGATTCTGTTACTACTCATGAGGATGGTGATGATGATGCAGATGATGCTACTGCTAGTATCGTTGCTACTCCTGCGACTGCTACTACTACTACTGTTGCGGCTGCTGCTACAATTTCAGTTGGTACTAATGTTACTATTACTGATAGTATTACTGCTCTTCCCACCGCTGCTGCCTGCTGCTACTGGTGCTGTTGCTGACATTGGTTGACATCACCAACAGTAGCAGCAGCTACAATAATGGTAGTAGTAGCACTGCTACTAGCAGTAGCATTAGTAGCAGTAGTTGTAGCAGCAGCAATAGCATCAGTAGTTAGTATCCCCCTCCCCTGTCCTCAACCTCTGCTCTCTCTATCCTGTGGTGACGTGGGACCCAACGGTAGCTCGTTTGCCGCCTATTGCAGAGGTTCAAGGTTCAAATCCAGCGGCTGCCCTGATTAATACTGCGGGTGAGATAACCATAATACTATACACCGCCTGCTTTAACAGTTGACGCTAAAGATCCCGTGACAATTCGCAAGGGTGGCCCATTGTGTGCCGGTGTCGTAGTCCAAATCAGAAAAAATCCTGAAAATCACTCAATTAAGATAATACATTGAGATAATCTCCCTTTACTGTCAAAACCTTGCTAGGACCCTCCTGTAAAAGAGTCGCAAGACTCTCCCAACTCAGGGCGTACCCCCACTCTCTTCCTGAACTCCCACCCCAGGTACGGTGTCACACCTGTCGTACACGGACTGGGCGGACCGGATCCTCCGCTCCTTTGAGCCCAAGTTCTACGTCCACGACAAGAGCGACTCCCAGAGCCAGGACCCCCACCCCGAGCTCGTGCATAAGACGGGCATCTACAAGGACAGCTATGGGGCCTCGCAGCCCTGGTGCGACTATCAGCTCAGGCCCAACCTCACCGTCGCCATGGTGGTGGTGAGATGCTTGCGATGGTCGCATCGGGTTTATTAATGGCCGTGTCGGGTTCATAATGGCAGTGTTGAGTTTATAATGATCGTGAAGGGTTTCTAATGGCTGTGTTGAGTTCATAATGGTCGTGAAGGGATACTAATGGGTGTGAAGGGTTCATAATGGCTGTGTCAGGTTCATAATGGTTGTGAAGGGCTAATAATGGCCGTGTCAATTTCATAATGGTCGTGAAGGGTTCGTAATGGCTGCGTCGGATTCATCATTGTAGCGATGGGTTCTCATTGGCCATGTCGGGTTCATAATGGTTGTGAAGGATACATAATGGTTGGGTCGGGTTCATAATGGTTATGAATGGTCCATAATGGCCGTATCCGGTTCGTAATGGTGACATTCAATTAAATTAAGATATTCAGTTTCTCCTCTCTGTCTCTCTTCACTTTCCCATGTTGTCCTCGTGCCCCTTCTCTCGATATCTCCGTTGTTTGTTTCTCTCCGTCTCTTTTTTCTCCGTGTCTCCTTTCTGCCTGCATCTCCCATGTTTCCATGTGTCCCCTTGTCTCTGTGTTTAGGCTCCTGAACTCTTCACCCCAGAGAAAGCCTGGAAAACACTTGAAATTATCGAGAAAAAACTTCTCGGCCCGCTCGGCATGAAGACACTGGACCCAGAGTGAGACACGGGGAGAGAAAGTGCAATATTAGGAGGCGAGGTAGACGGGGGGAGGGGGGAGAAGGGAGAGACACAAGGAGATAATGGGAGAAATGGTGCAGAGAAATAAGACACGGGAACATCTAAGGAGATAGAGGGAGAAGAATAAAATCTCATAACAATAAAATGTTACGTAACATTTTTGCAATGCAGTATCAATATTTGTGAAATATTAATATTATGCATCGTATATTATTATGCTATATATTTGTATATCGTATGTATAAATGTTAATAATTTGGTAAATTTTTACGTGAAAATGATCCACCCTTGCCACCTTGCCAAGACCCCGTTTTTACATGAATCTCAAGAGTTTACACCCCCGCACCTCCGATTAGCACGGTTGGCTACGTACAGCGTGAAAGAAGTTCAACATGCGGTATATTTTACGGCGGTGATTCTGAACCTTTACTGCAGCCTTACACTCCTTTGGCTATCAAATGTAACACAAATGTACAATGTTAGTAAATGCATAGGTTTAAAGAAACAAAGTAGTTGTACTTACAGACCCGAGCTTAATTTGTCTTTTGATTTACCTTCTAAAAAACTATGCATGTCTCACACCTCCAGACAGGGGCATCTCGCACCCCCCTGGGGATGCGCGCACCCTAGGTTAAGAACCAGTGCTTTATGGTATACAATGGAATCTATCTCAAATTTGAGTCAAGTAAACCGTCAACTTCAAAAGTCTCCTTTTTCCTGGGCCCTACCTTAATGCAGCAGGCCCTCGGCTGCCTTCGTTTCCGTCCGTCTCTCCTCCGCTTCATTACCCCAAACGCCCCCAAATTCAGCTGCTCCAACATCTCAATCCTTGGCCTCCCTCTCGTTCTCTGCCCGTTTAGTCTTCCCTCGATAGTGTCGTGATCCGCTGAACTGTCCCCGCGCAGCGTACGGCCAATCCGGTTCTTCTCTCTATCCTTATGATTCCTTTGCTTCAAAATAATAGTGAAATATTATCAGGATCAGCTGAATTAGAGGGATTTGGTGAAGCCGAGGTCAGTTCCACCTCCTGATGATAGATGTATTTCAAATATGAGGGAGTTTGCAAGGTTTGTGAAAACAGTTGATTATGGTTCATCAAGGTAGGAGCTGACTATGAGCAAAGGTATTTTAGAGTGCTAGTTGAAAGCATGCAACATGTAATATTCCCCAGAATGTCACTATTATTTGGCATAAGACTGAACTTTGTGAAATTTTGGTTTGATATGTAATATGTTGACGTTGTTGGTGGTGTTGATGTTGCTGATAGTGTTTATGGTATTGTCGTTGATGCACAGTGATATGGTTTACAATGGAGTCTATAACAATGCCGATGATGGAACCGACTTCAACAAAGCCAAGGGATTCAACTACCACCAGGGACCGGTACATGAGCTCACACAAAGACAAAGATCCCCCATATCGCCTTTAACAGATTGTTGGGGCAAGTGCTGTTTGCGAGCACCTTCGAAGGCTCTATTATGCACCTTTGAAGGCTGACACGACACACAAGAGGTGGGTGGCCAATGCCACACCCATTCACCTTTGGCTTCCAAGTGATGTTTACACACTGCATCAGATGCTCATTTAAGGTTGAGTTGATCTAGGGGAAGCCCAGGCTTTGAGCAGGAACTGGGGTCACCGGGTTCGTAGCGCAGTGCACTAACCACTGCGTTACCACTCCCTTTCACTTACACACACGAGTGTTCCATGTTTGAACAAAACATTTACACCACAATGATGTCACTTCCCCACCCCCCCTCTCGCAAATGGAAGTGACAGCACTTTGGTAGATAAACCCAAAACCATTTTTACAGATGATCCAAATTTTTGTTTCTAAAGTTGATTTACGGTTTTTAAGATCAATCCAAAAATCTGTAACATATTCCTAACATATATCAATATGGGTATGCTTTATTTTGAAAATATCAAACGTTGGACAATTGCCTCTCTCCGTGTCTCCATTAGGAGTGGCTCTGGCCTGTGGGCTACTTCCTCCGTGCAAAACTTCTCTTCTGTCGCTTCATGAGCGAAGAGATCCAGAAGGAGACGATTGCTCTCGTCAAGAAAATACTGGCAGCTCATCAGACTCACCTTGAGAGGTGAGGGAGAGGTGGTGGTGGAGAAAGAAGTAATGGTGGTAATTTTAATTATGATAAGGTGGATGATGCTGCTGCTACTAATAATAATTCTGATGATGATGATGATGCTGCTGATTATAATGATGCTGCTACTGTTATGACGATAATAATGTTGACTGTGATTCCAGTAAAAATGCCGATGATAACGTCGCTCCTGAAGTTTGCTACCGATGATTCTACCCATCGAGACGATACTCATGCTCACGATACTGGTGAAGATGATCCATGACGATGATGCACGATGATGTCGCTGCCACAGGTCCCCCTGGAAGGGTCTCCCTGAGCTCACCGACGCCTCGGGCCGCCACTGCCCATTCAGCTGCGAGAGCCAGGCCTGGAGCCACGCCGTCATCATCGACGCCGTGCATGCCCTCACCGGGGGCATGGTCGCATAGGCGTGCCTTCTGTACGGAGGCAGGGATGCCTAGGCATGCCCTCGCCGAGGGCATGGTCGCCTAGGCGTGCCCTCCGTTGGGAGGCAGGGCCACCGAGGCATGCCCCTCACTGTACGTGCGGGTCCCTCGGTGGCCCTGTCACGTCTGGCGAGGTTGACTCAAGTGCATTCGCGAGGGCCGTGGCCCATTAAAGTGTATTACCACAAACAAGGTGGCTTAGCGCATGTCCCTCCATCGTGGGCAATTGCAAGGGGCTTGGCCCACTGAAGTGTATTACAAAGGGACGGTTGATTGTCGTGTATCAGAGGGGCAAGGCCTATTGAAATGCATTATATGGGCGTCGTTCATTGAGGTGCTTTAGAGGGGGCATGGCTGCATAGGCTGTGCCCTTAGTAGGGTCAAGAGCAGCTAAGGGCTGTCCTATTAAAGGCATAGCCCATTGCCACATGTTTCACGTGGCCATTGAAGCATTACAGGGAAGGAGGGCTCATTGAATCATGAAGGGCATTTCCAATTCACAGAGGGCATTTCTCGTTCAAAAACATTACAAAGGGGTATATCGCAGTGCAACAATTACAAACCACATGGCCCATTGAACTGCAAGAGGACATGGCAATTGAAATGCATTAGTGGGGCATGGCCCATTGAAACACATTTCAAAGGGTGCGTCAACACATTTCACAGGGCATTGCCCGTTAGTTTAAAAACATAAATGGAATAGTAGGCAAATAGATCAGTCTATTGAGTGTAGCAATATAATATTGCAATGGCGTGTTTAAATAAATAAATGACATGAAAAAATGTACCACCAAAATTAGTGCACAAAATTAACTATAAATGGATACAACTATTTTATATTAAATGTGTAGCCCACTCAGCACTTTTCAACTTGCTAAATAAAATGTTAGCTCCCCCCCCCCCCCCCGTAATGATCGTTTAAAGAAAGATCCCGCCCCAAATCACCACACGGCTCTTCCCAAGTAGCCACTCATCCATGCTGTGTGTCCCGGGTCTGCCCACACAAATCTGCAACGTCATCATTCGTAGCAGCCATGATCCATCCACTGCTGGATGAAGGCCTCATCAAGTCGCCGCCACATCTCATGGTCTCGTAATGCAACAATGCATCCAGTCAGCCGCGCACGAGCTGATTTCATTGTTCCATCTCCGCATGCGACTTAAGAACATATCATCAAGCTTCACTGATGCTAACCTTTAAGTAAATTTAAAGTATTTTTCTCACAAATTCAGAATTTGAACTCAGGTGGGAGAGCCCCGGTACACACAGCCATGTCATATAGCTGCTCGAGCAGACCTGTGTGCGCTTTGTGTTGCGTCGCTCATCAACGAGTCTGCTTTTAGATAACAACTATTTGTTTTAACAAATGTGTGTAGTAATTGAAAATCAAATTGCTAATGGTGACTTAAAAGTTTATTTCAGTTTTGCTTCCGAATTGGTGATTTTTATTTTCTAGAGAATATCATTGATAATAGGTCAGATGTTTCATAACTCATCTGATAACCCTTGTTTTATCTCGTCAAATAGAGAAATCCCATCCCATCTTAGCAAATCCAATGCCCTTGTCTTGTCCGATATGGAAGACTCATCTCATCCAATACAGAACTATCGTCACGTCGAAGCTGATACAGAAGCCTTGTTTCTTCCAATGAAGAAGCTTTAACTTGTCCATTACAGAATACCCGTCTCATCTCATTCAGTACGGAACATCACAACTGATCACATCACAACCTTCGCATCCAATACAGAACTTCCAACATGAGCCTCTTCAAATGTAATGGCGTATCGGATTTTAAAGGTTTACTGACGGTTGAATTTAGGGTGGAGTGTTGTAGAATGTCCTTGCATGCAATCAACCTAGTAGCTTAGGCTTTTAAGTGACACACATTGAAACAAATAATTAAGAAACACAAATAGTTATATCTGATGATGCAACTCAAACACACTTGCAGCTCTTGTCGAGAACTTACACCCTTGGACCGTGTGACCTGGACTACCCCGCATGCATCTGAAACCTTATTTGTGGGGAGAAAATGTTTTCAATTTCATTTCAAGCGCAGTTTATTGATGTCACTGAGGTGGCGTATGAAAAGTCAGGCTGTTGTGCCCGATTGACTTCACTACAGTACTCCTGGAAGTTACTTTAAAGTCTTCATCCCTCACTATTTCATATACAACAGCCCAGGACACACAGCTTGGATGTGTGGCGACTAGAGAAGAACTGTGGTGTTTGAGTGGCGTCTTGTTTTAGCGAAAGTCTATCATATCAGGCCTTATGGAGTGTATTGCTGTGTGATAAACCAATAAAAAGGCACCTGATTGAAACAAACTCGTTTCAGTTGAACACGTTTGCTTTCGTGACCAATATCCATAATAGAGGTTTTTGGGTTATATCGAGTAAATAAACAAAACGATTATCAACATGACTAACGTTGAATTATCCAGCGATATGATTTCCGTCCTGTCTAAAGGTCTTAACTTTGCTGTTGCCTCACGTACAATCCCTGTCGATGAGATCATTGCTAAAGTGCAATCAGCAGTTAGACATCTTCATAATCAAGCTGAGATGAAATTTTGATTTAAAGCTTTCGTGACTGCAGTAATTCATATTCTTAGTTTTTTCGGTAAAGTCACGTTGAAGAGAAACAACAAAATAATAAAATATATATAAAACAATAAAAATTCTCACGACGTTTCGACCATAACTCAAACGGTCATCTTCAGGTGTGTTGGTTCGCATAAATTTATTTTTAAACGGCGCAATTTCGATAGATAATCTATCGAAATTGAAAGAAATCAAAATAACTTTAACCGTTCAGATAGCTACAGTCTTAGTGCTGCGTGGAAGCGAATAATCAAATAATACATTAATAAAATGCATGCCTACAAAGGGCAGCGTACTTCAATAGGGATTACCATTAGTAGGGCGATTTTAATAAACAATAGACAGGAAGGACAAGTTCAAAGGGCTCGCATAATGCATCATGTACGTTGACTTAGTAATACCCCCCCCCCCATCATTGTGCAAGAGCACAGAAGCGTGGCCACCACATCTACGCCTCGATATAAGGAACGAAACAGTAAGACTTCTCCACAAATATGGTTGTCGCCTGATAAAGCTAGTTGTTATTACTGGCGAAACGTCGTACTCAGTTTGTAAATGTGGCTTGGCTCTCCGAAACACCGGTTAGTGCTATACTAGTATACTACACTATATATTACATTACTATACACTACACTATACACTACACTATACACTAGTGCTGTACTCGTGACGAATTGGCCACGTTCTGTTTACGTGACAACCATTACTAGTTGGCTGTTGGGTGGTGGCGGGTTTCAACGACACATTTATACATTTACGCGATCTAACCCCACAAAACCTCAATTATGAAAAAAAATCGTTTCACTTGCTTTTAAAATGGTTGTGAACAAGATGCCTGGATTTGTTTAGTTAAGGGGTTCATAATCACCACGGAGCAACGGCTGCTGAAGTGCAGCTTGGCTATAATAATGCAGCAGTTTCAACTTGTAACTCGCTGACGCACAGTATTCACCCACTCGTGAAGAGAGAAAATGAGGAAAGGAAGCCCCTGAAGTTGTGCGGTCCCATATATATATGGAGGTGTTGCCAGCCAATTTACAAGTGGGAGGAAACCAGAGCACCCAGAAGAAAAGGCTCGCGTGCGAGGAGGCGGCAACACTCTCCCATGCAGATGGAACAGTTGAAGTCCACATTGTGTACACCGCCTTCTGGTGAGCCAGGATATAGCACCGACGCCCACAAGGAAGGGAATGACAACATTTGTGTGATCCACCAACCCTCGCCTTCACAGTATGTACTAGTTTACAGGTGTGATCCACCAACCCTCGCCTTCACAGTATGTACTAGTTTACAGGTGTGATCCACCAACCCTCACCTTCACAGTATGTACTAGTTTACAGGTGTGATCCACCAACCCTCACCTTCACAGTATGTATTAGTTTACAGGTGTGATCCACCAACCCTCACCTTCACAGTATGTACTAGTTTACAGGTGTGATCTACCAACCCTCACCTTCACAGTATGTACTAGATTACAGGTGTGATCTACCAACCCTCACCTTCACAGTATGTACTAGTTTACAGGTGTGATCTACCAACCCTCACCTTCACAGTATGTACTAGTTTACAGGCGTGATCCACCAACCCTCACCTTCACAGTATGTACTAGTTTACAGGTGTGATCCACAATCCCTCACCTTCACAGTATGTACTAGTTTACAGGTGTGATCCACCAACCCTCACCTTCACAGTATGTATTAGTTTACAGGTGTGATCCACCAACCCTCACCTTCACAGTTTGTACTAGTTTACAGGTGTGATCTACCAACCCTCACCTTCACAGTATGTACTAGATTACAGGTGTGATCTACCAACCCTCACCTTCACAGTATGTACTAGTTTACAGGTGTGATCTACCAACCCTCACCTTCACAGTATGTACTAGTTTACAGGCGTGATCCACCAACCCTCACCTTCACAGTATGTACTAGTTTACAGGTGGGATCTACCAACCCTCACCTTCACAGTATGTACTAGTTTACAGGTGTGATCCACCAACCCTCACCTTCACAGTATGTACTAGTTTACAGGTGTGATCCACCAACCCTCACCTTCACTGTATGTACTAGTTTACAGGTGTGATCCACCAACTCTTACCTTCACAGTATGTATTAGTTTACAGGTGTGATCCACCAACCCTCGCCTTCACAGTATGTACTAGTTTACAGGTGTGATCCACCAACCCTCACCTTCACAGTATGTACTAGTTTACAGGCGTGATCCACCAACCCTCACCTTCACAGTATGTATTCGTTTACAGGTGTGATCCACCAACCCTCACCTTCACAGCATGTATTAGTTTACAGGTGTGATCTACCAACCCTCACCTTCACAGTATGTACTAGTTTACAGGCGTGATCCACCAACCCTCACCTTCACAGTATGTACTAGTTTACAGGTGTGATCCACCAACCCTCACCTTCACAGTGTGTACTAGTTTACAGGTGTGATCCACCAACCCTCAGCTTCACTGTATGTACTAGTTTACAGGTGTGATCCACCAACCCTCACCTTCACAGTATGTATTAGTTTACAGGTGTGATCCACCAACCCTCGCCTTCACTGTATGTACTAGTTTACAGGTGTGATCCACCAACCCTCACCTTCACAGTATGTACTAGTTTACAGGCGTGATCTACCAACCCTCACCTTCACAGTATGTACTAGTTTACAGGTGGGATCTACCAACCCTCACCTTCACAGTATGTACTAGTTTACAGGTGTGATCTAACAACCCTCACCTTCACAGTATGTACTAGTTTACAGGCGTGATCCACCAACCCTCACCTTCACAGTATGTACTAGTTTACAGGCGTGATCCACCATCCCTCACCTTCACAGTATGTACTAGTTTACAGGTGTGATCCACCAACCCTCACTTTCACAGTATGTATTAGTTTACAGGTGTGATCCACAATCCCTGACCTTCACAGTATGTACTAGTTTACAGGCGTGATCTACCAATCCTCACCTTCACAGTATGTACTAGCTTACAGGTGTGATCCACCAACCATCACCTTCACAGTATGTACTAGTTTACAGGTGTGATCCACCAACCTTCACCTTCACAGTATGTACTAGTTTACAAGTGTGATTCACCAACCCTCACCTTCACAGTATGTACTAGTTTACAGGTGTGATCCACCATCCCTCACCTTCACAGTTTGTACTAGTTTACAGGCGTGATCCACCATCCCTCACCTTCACAGTATGTACTAGTTTACAGGTGTGATTCACCAACCCTCACTTTCACAGTATGTATTAGTTTACAGGTATGATCCACCATCCCTGACCTTCACAGTATGTACTAGTTTACAGGCGTGATCTACCAATCCTCACCTTCACAGTATGTACTAGTTTACAGGTGTGATCCACCAACCATCACCTTCACAGTATGTACTAGTTTACAGGTGTGATCCACCAACCTTCACCTTCACAGTATGTACTAGTTTACAAGTGTGATTCACCAACCCTCACCTTCACAGTATGTACTAGTTTACAGGTGTGATCCACCATCCCTCACCTTCACAGTATGTACTAGTTTACAGGCGTGATCCACCAACCCTCACCTTCAAGTATGTACTAGTTTACAGGTGTGATCCACCAACCCTCACCTTCACAGTATGTACTAGTTTACAGGTGTGCACTACCATCCCTCACCTTCACAGTATGTACTAGTTTACAGGTGTGATCCACCAACCCTCACCTTCACAGTGTGTACTAGTTTACAGGTGTGATCTACCAACCCTCACCTTCACAGTATGTACTAGTTTACAGGCGTGATCCACCAACCCTCACCTTCACAGTATGTACTAGTTTACAGGTGTGCACCACCATCCCTCACCTTCACAGTATGTACTAGTTTACAGGTGTGATCCACCAACCCTCACCTTCACAGTATGTACTAGTTTACAGGTGTGATCTACCAACCCTCACCTTCGCAGTATGTACTAGTTTACAGGTGTGATCCACCAACCCTCACCTTCACAGTATGTACTAGTTTACAGGTGTGATCTACCAACCCTCACCTTCACAGTATGTACTAGTTTACAGGTGTGATCCACCAACGTCCATGGTTGTCTCTTGCTTCAAGGCTTTCATAATGGCTATGTAAGGGACACTTATTCTGAACCACTGATGAATCTAGGTTTTATCCTTAGGGCTAGGTATATTGTTCATTTAAATCCTGTAACGCTGGGAAACCCGTTCACCATTCTACATTGACCATCGTGGCGAAGTATGGTCACACAACCCTCATGACTTATAACAACAGGGTTAGGCCTTTATCCATCAGTGGGTTAATAAAGTGCTGTGAATTATTAGGTAAAGGATGTAAAAATGTCCGTGGTTGTTTCTAGGATGTTAGTCAATTACAGGAAAATCAAAATGGGCTCTGGTGGTGAAAGATAAAGTGTAAATCACAAGAGAATACATCTGAGGGCTCTCATTGACAAATGAAGGATGTCCAATCACAGGAGATGATGAGTCTCTGTCGGTCTCATCGTTCAATAAAGGATGTCAAGAGATTGAATGTCGAGAGATATTATCAAGGTCTCGGAGGCCCATTGGATGGTTAAATGAAGGTGTGCCGCCAACGTGAGTGGGTGGGGGGGCCTTCATCCAGCAGTGGATTATCAACACCTTCAATAGACTATTTATATAAATCCAAACAGGCACTGCCCGTTTTTCCTTAAGTAGTCGACATGATCGATCACGGTAGATTT